AAATATTAATCAAAGTTAGTGGAGTAACTTCTGGACAGAATTATACCTTTTGGGGTTATTTTACTGCACCATATTTTTTCTTTTACTTAAGTAATATCATAACAAAAAACTCATTTATCCATAATGGCAACCTTGACTGAATAATGAAAGATTGTTTTAAAAACTGTGCTTTAGAAAAAGGCACAGAGTTAATGTTTATGTCAATAAGAGTCTTATTTTTGTTGTACATAAACTAACTTAAACCTACCATGACATAAATACAGTAAGTGTAGGTGCTGGTTTTTATGTTTTATGTCAAAAAGAAAAAGTGTTTGTTCTGCCCGGAATTGTTATTTTTATGACACCATTTGTTTATTTTATTTTTTTGTGATAGTCTTTGAACTTAACGTTACATTTTGACCTGTCTTGCTTACATTTTTTTTAAATATCAGATGAGTTTCTCAGTACTTGAGTTGCCTTTTTTTAACCAAATAGTTCTGTACTTGAGTATTTTCTTTGATAGCTATTTGTTACTCTTACTTAAGTAAAAGTATGATGAAGTTGTGTAATACTGTACTCTACCCACCTCTGCACAGATAGTAATACAGGTGCTGGTCATAAAATTAGAATATCATGAAAAAGTAGATTGATTTCAGTAATTCCATTTAAAAAGTGAAACTTGTATATTATATTCATACATTACATACAAACTCATATATTTCAGATGTTTATTTTGTTTAATTTTGATGATTACAAATGACAACAAATGAAAATCTCAAATTCATCATATCAGAAAATTAGAATATTGTGAAAAGGTTCAAAATTGATGGCCCCTGGTGCCACACTCTAATCAGCTAATTAACTCAAACCACCTGCAAAAGCCTTTAAATGGTCTTTCAGTCTAGTTCTATAGGCTACACAATCATGGGGAAGACTGCTGACTTGACAGTTGTCCAAAAGACGACCATCGACACCTTGCACAAGGAGGGCAAGACACAAAAGGTCATCGCTAAAGAGGCTGGCTGTTCACAGAGCTCAGTGTCCAAGCACATTAATAGAGAGGCGAAGGGAAGGAAAAGATGTGGTCGAAAAAAGTGTACAAGCAAGAGAGATAACCGCACCCTGGAGAGGATTGTGAAACAAAACCCATTCAAAAATGTGGGGGAGATTCACAAAGAGTGGACTGCAGCTGGAGTGAGTGCTTCAAGAACCACCACACACAGACGTATGAAAGACATGGGTTTCTGCTGTCGCATTCCTTGTGTCAAGCCACTCTTGAACCACAGACAGCGTCAGAAGCGTCTTGCCTGGGCTAAAGAGAAACAGGACTGGACTGCTGGTGAGTGGTCCAAAGTCATGTTCTCTGATGAAAGTAAATTTTGCATTTCCTTTGGAAATCAAGGTCCCAGAGTCTGGAGGAAAAGAAGAGAGGCACTTCATCCACGTTGCTTGAAGTCCAGTGTAAAGTTTCCACAGTCAGTGATGGTTTGGGGTGCCATGTCATCTGCTGGTGTTGGTCCATTGTGTTTTCTGAGGTCCAGGGTCAACGCAGCCACATACCAGGAAGTTTTAGAGCACTTCATGCTTCCTGCAGCTGACCAACTTTTTGGAGATGCAGATTTCATTTTCCAACAGGACTTGGCACCTGCACACAGTGCCAAAGCTACCAGTACCTGGTTGAAGGACCATGGTATCCCTGTTCTTAATTGGCCAGCAAACTCTCCTGACCTTAACCCCATAGAAAATCTATGGGGTATTGTGCAGAAGAAGATGCAATACACCAGACCCAACAATTCAGAAGAGCTAAAAGCCACTATTAGAGCAACCTGGGCTATCATAACACCTGAGCAGTGCCACAGACTGATCGACTCCATGCCACGCCGCATTGCTGCAGTAATACAGGCCAAAGGAGGCCCAACTAAATACTGAGTGCTGTACATGCTCATACTTTTCATGTTCATACTTTTCAGTTGGCCAACATTTCTATAAATCCTTTGTTTTTATTGGTCTTTAGTAATATTCTAATTTTCTGATATGATGAATTTGAGATTTTCATTTGTTGTCATTTGTAATCATCAAAATTAAACAAAATAAACATCTGAAATATATGAGTTTGTATGTAATGTATGAATATAATATACAAGTTTCACTTTTTAAATGGAATTACTGAAATCAATCTACTTTTTCATGATATTCTAATTTTATGACCAGCACCTGTAGTTAACTCTATAGAACGAAGGTACTGCATGGGGGTCGCGAAAGTTTTGGTTGACTTTTTAAAAAAATATATATTCCCCCCTGCAATTTTTCCTGCAATGCACACATTCAGCGACACACAGGAGCTCTTTCAAGCTAAGCACCGTTTCATTCACAACACCTGTCCCATCAACTCGGAATCAGAATCAGAAATACTTTAATAATCCCAGGAAAAAAATTCCTTTCATTACATTACTCCATCTGTCATAGAGAGAGACTATAGGACCAGTTTGATAGAACACAATTTCATACAATAAATATAAAATTAGGGGGTCCCCGGTCCATCTCTCCATCAGTTTGAGGGTCCTTGGCATGGAAAACGTTAAAGACCCCTGCATATAGAACATGCAGAAAATTTATATTTTCTTTTCCCATAAATACATAATAGCTTTAAGCCAACACTTAGAATTATGCATTTGTCTGTTAAGCAAAATAACATTTACACTCTTCTTTAGGAAATTATCCAGATCATCTAACTGAAAGATTTTGCAGAATACTACAAAAAGAAGAAGACTGAATGAAGATCAACTAGCTGCTACAGTAGTTTTGTGTGACATATGGAGAATCCAAGGTGTTTTAAAAACCAGAGGACTGGTTGGGGTTGATTTTGTTTCATTAATTTCTAATATTCCTCACCTTGAAGATTTGTACTTTTGTTTACCTTCTGTTACAAAAACAGACATTACTCATATAGATGCAATTGAATTAAGATGAAATACAGCAATTATTCCTTGAGGCAGCAATAATAAAATGTCTTACAGGAAATGATAAACTTACAAGAGAAGACATGTAAGCACCCCTAATAAGGATTGTGTTATTTGTTTACTGTGAATTCATGTTTAAGTGCTGACTCCTCATGTGGAAGTCTTAGTGTAAGTCATGTAATTGTTTCCTAAAACCGTTTTCCTTCAGCTTTACTAATGTGATATTAGTGAGACTAAAGCAGGTTGACCCTCTCTGACCTCTAAATCACCAACCCAGTCCACCCAGTTAATCCGACTAAAAGGTAACTGGGAAAGAATGGTAGCAGAAACTCAACAAGTGAGGAAATGGGCTGAAATTATGGGGAAAGGAAACTACATTTTTAATAGGTAAAAATAGACAATGTTTCAAATTCTCTAATTTCACAGCATTATCCAGAAAAAAATAAAAACACAAGTTTTATTTAAGCTAAACACAGTTTTATTAAACCAATATGTGAACAAAAAAGTATTAATATGTCTGTTTTCTTTCATACAAATAGCAACATATATGTTGAAACATACTTCTTACAGGTGAACATAGTCATTAAGAGCAAAATAAGTCAATTGTGTCACCGCCTGCAGTTCTGCTAGTCACAGAAAGGGGGCGATTTCCCACCCAGGACTGGAGCCCTGCTCCGCGGTGCATGATGGGATGCGGCGGATCAGGTAAGCTCCTCCGCCTCATCAGGTTGGATTATTACGAAGCAAATGTAGGAAGTTAAAAATACCTTAATTTCACAATAAAGGTTTTTAGTTTTAAATCCTCTTAGATGTAAAGGTATGGCCATTTTTAACAGTTTTAGTATACTGTTGTGGTATTATTATGGTATTATTGATATAAAGTATTATTAAGTGATGACATTTTTTTATTTATTGTTGACCAGTATTTATTATTGTGCAATAATACAAGCTAGATATTTTGATTTTATAAGAACTACTACTAAAAAAATATGATCATTACTTCATAACATTACTTATTTATTTACTTGTTACTTTGTTTATTTCAGGATAGAGTTTGTATCCAACATCTACATCAACTAATACTATGGACTTTGGGCCATTGTTAAACAATATTAGCTGTTCTATTTCTGTAATGTCACGTCATTTTAATTGAAGAATTGGGTGCACAAGTTTAAATTGTCCCAAAAAGATCCTTATTGACATCAAACACCCTTGTTTTGAAGTTTTCGCCATCTTAAGGTTCATTTAACCAGAAATTTAAAAGTGTTTCACATGTTAATGTTAATTTAACCAGAAATTTTTGTTAATGTTTCACATGCTATTTATTCCAGTTCCTATAATTAGATTAGATTAGATAGAACCTTATTGATCTCACGATGGAGAAATTCACTTGTGACATCAGCTCTTATAAACAACAGAAGGTGCACAAAGGAGGAAAAGGTGTATGAAGTACATAGAGTCTATCCAGATATATAAGGATATCTAAGGTGACTTATATATGGAAAGGATAAAATGTATCTTATGTACAGTGCTGTTACTGGTTTGTTAAATGAAATAAGAGGTAATTGAAATAGGTGAAGGCTCTTATAATGCAGGATTATTGCACAGTGTATAAAATAATTATTGCAGTGTTATTACACCTGGGTTATAGCGCATAATAATTCTAATAATAAAAATATAAACATTGAATCATTATGTCAATCATTGTCAATCACCAAAATGCTTGAAAGGTGGTACAGTTACTTTTAGTTTTAAAAGTAAACCCTAATATAGACTTCTCTAAATATACTTTGGTTACTTTCAGCCAAATAAAATAAAAAATAAAAAATCAGAATTTGCTTTGTCTATGTGCCAATTTTAGTTTAGCTCTGATTTTATATCCTCATTGTTCTCTGGTATTTACTTAAGCATTTTGCTTTTATCCAAGGATGACAGCTTTGTTCTGCTTAAAGACTTTCGTATTTACTTTTATTTTTTGAATGATGAGTTGGTACGTATGTTCTACGAGTCTCTGACCTTTATTTTGAAATTCTGAAACGGAAGTGTCGCTGCTACTGTTGCTATCTTGGTTGCTATGTGCTCACGGGAGGAGCTGACAGCCGAAGTAGCGACAGGTGAATGATTTACAACCTCCACTTTTCACCTGTACACACTAAATTAATTAATGAAACTGAAAGCGAACCTGTTGAGCTGTTTCTGACAGCGAAAACAAACACTTTATCACTGAAAGCTTGGCCAAAAGGACGGAGACCGTTTAGGAAGAGATTTGATTAGCAGGTATGCTATAAATAACTTTTATTGTTCAGCATTTAACTACAAGCATATATGTTTTCATATTAACGTTTGTGTTAAGAAAACAAAGCAATCTTATCAGGTTGAAATCGTTCTTTGCCATCAAATGGAGGTTTCCATCTTTGCTGAAATCCGAGACATTTAATTAATTAAAAGAGCGCTTGTTTGGTATCGTGACGCAGTTTTTATTATGTTAGCATGTCAGCATAAATGCTGATAAATTGACTTTATCTGTCATTAATGTCAGCTAAGGCCTGTTGCGCCGCCCATTGTAAACAAACAGAGGCTTTGGATCCTCCCATCCCTGCGGGCTTTTAGTGTCAGAGCCCGGGCCTGTCACTGGTGAGCATCCCTTATTTATTTGAACTCACCGCTTTTGTTTTTTCCGTAAACTTTTACAGCTACACTTCTGTTGCTGCATAATAGTCTGTTGTAGAGATAATATGATTAATATTCCCCCATCTTTTTTTTTTTGAGTCTACATTGACAGTCCTCTGGGCTGTCCAGGTGTCTCTGCTGCTCCACAGCTGATTCAAACTCTGGAAGGAGCTCCTCAGCCTGGCACCATTACTGATTCACGCTGATTCAGGTGCACTGAATGAAATAAGGAGCTAGATTATGAGCCATACTCATACTTGATTACTGACATACAAACATGTAGTTTTAATATTTAATTATAAATTACAAATGTTCATATTGAACAAAATTCCCCAGTTTGAAAAATGATGTTAATGTACTTGATTTTCCAAATGAAATATTTTGAGTTGGGGATTAGTACGGAGGAGGATTACGGGCCAATGGAAAAAAAAGTTTACTGATTTTTAAATATTATTTCACTTTAATATGGGGGGGGGGAGTCAGAATTCTGGCTTTAATCTTAAAATTCTGACTTTAATTGTAGAATTCTGACTTTTTTCTCAGAATTCTGACTTTAATCTCAGATTTCCCGCTTTTGAATTCTGAGTTTAATCTCAGATTTCCCGTTTTTGAATTCTGACTTTAATCTCAGAATTCCTGCTTTTGAATTCTGACTTTAATCTCAGAATTCCCGCTTTTGAATTCTGGCTTTAATCTCAGAATTCTGATTTTTGAGTTCTGACTTTAATCTCAGAATTCTGACTCTTGAGTTCTGACTTTAATCTCAGAATTCTGACTTTTTTTTTCTTCAGAATTCCGACTTTTTTCTTAGAATTTCTCACTTTTTTCTCAGAATTCTGACTTCAATCTCTCTCTTAAAGGTACACTATGCAACCGGTGTTGATTTTCCAGCGAGGCTCCCCCCAGAGGGCGAAAGTAAAAGTGCACTGTCGTAAATATGCACAGCTGTTCTCCTGGTTTCTCCGTCAAGCCAGGCGCGGTTGTTTTGAGCTTAGCAGCGAATGACTAATGCTGCGTTCACACTGGACGTAGCTGGCGCGACAGAAGCAGCGAGTTTACATGCAAAGTCAATGGTTGACGCGCGTCAAGGCGCAGCAAAAGGTCCATCGGTGCGTTTTGAGTAGCAGGCGCAGCACGTCTGAGCAGCTGAAGCACCGCGTCGGGTGCGTTTAACGCAGGGAGAGAGACACAGCGCTGATGATCTCTCCTCTTAAACAGTTTATTGACGCCTAAATTAACTTAAAATGCAGAAATCTGCCGGCAGAATAAGCAGTTTGGATTATTTAGATGAAAAACACCTACCAGCTGCGGTGAACCGCTGCTGATGAAGGGATCCATACTGTTGGCGCCCCGCTGGTATGTGGGGGTCTGAGCGGCTCCGACAGAAAAAATATTGAAGGCAGGATAATAATCTGAATGAACTGACGGCACTGATTACGTTTTCAGGTGTATTTTCTCACTTAAACACATATTAAAACTACTTTATTCCCACTGATCACAGCAAATATAGCTGCAAGGCAGAGAAAGGATAGTGAAGCTTCGCCCAACGCGCCTCAGACACAGCCAGAGCAGCAAAGCTGCTTCAGCCACGCGTCAGAACTAACTGGTACAAGCAGCAAAAATGAAGCAGCAGACGCGATTTTGCTGCTTTTGCTGCGTGAACGTAGCATAACTGCACAAAGATCGCCACTGTGCTAGCAACGAGAATGCTTTTAACTGGGGGCGTGTAGCAGTTCTCGCCGTAAAGCAAGACTGACTCTCACGAGACTTCTGAGCCTGTGGGTGCGGGTCGGTGCTCCTGCAGTTGCAAGTGCAGTATTTCCCCCACAGACCACCAGGGCGGCCGAGAATACCTTTGTTCAACCTGAAATGACTCATTTAATCATCCAAAACGTTATGGAACACATTAATTAACTGAAAAATGTTGCATAGTGTGCCTTTAATGTCGATGTGCAGCATGAAGGAAGATATGTGGGGGCACTCAGCTTCACTGACAAAGATGTGAGTGTTTTGGGAGGGCCAGTAATGTTTGATGTGCCTGAAGGGTCCCTGGTGATGCTATTTTATTAATGGAAGAGCAGAAGGTGATTAAAACAAGAGAGCTAGTTTATTCTCTAAAACTGACATGGGTATAGCTTGATGCTAACATGCTTATTAGCTGTCAGATTTCTGTCAGAATTCTGAGAAAAAAGTCAGAATTCTGACTTTTTTCTCATATTATACTGAAATAAAATTTAAAAATCAGTTATCTGTATTTTTATTTTTTTTTCAGTGGCCCTAATCCTCTTCTGTAGATTAAGGACGTTTCTGAAGCTCATTTGACTTATTGGATTTCTTATATATATATATATATATATATATATATATATATATATATATATATATATATATATATATATATATATATATATATATATATATATATATATATATATATATATATATAGGGTTTGTATTGCCTCTTTGGAAATGTATTCCTTGCTATTTGCCATTTGGTCATATTTAAATCTACTGGTTTTATAATTAAGCAATCACGTTTTCATGAAAATAATTTAGCAATACATCTCAGTAACTTCTCTGTCCATCAGTTCTCGCAAAATTTAATCGGCCTGAGCATTGACTGGACCGTTGCTGCACCTTGAATCTTTTTATCCATCCATTCTGCTATTATTTAGCTGCTATGTTTGCGGTCAGTCCTGATGACCTGGGCTTGGACAAACTTCAGCTCTCAGAGGGATGCCTCACATTAAACTTTTGTGCACTTTGCCATACAGGCGAGTTCATGGTCAGTTAGCTTATCAATGGATAGAGCTGCATTTGCTGGCTGACAGTTTATTGTGAAAAAACTGCATCACTCCCTCTTATTATGTCTCAGATACTGGTCCCAGATGGATTACAGCTGACTGTCACAAACCTATTTAAGAATTATTTAGAAATTAGTACAATGATGGGTATATATTGTTTTTAATTCTAGCAGAATAGTTAGGCCTTAGAATAGAAAATTCCTTTATTGTGTTGTTTGTGCAGTGGATAGAGCAAACGTTTGCACCAGAAGGAAACATACTGCTCAGTTAAGTTAAGACGGCATGCTAGGATAAAAAAAAAACATGTGCAGCGGTTTGAAGACAATTTGATAATATGCATATGTGTAGATGTAAAGAAAAACAGCAATTGACTGTTTTCAGGTGAAATTAGAAAAATTGCAATTGACAGCATGGATGTTAACAACTTCTTTGGTTTATTTAGAGCAGCACGGTTTTAAATGCCAAGCACTGCTGTTTAACTTAACGATTGCAGTTTGTCTGCTCTGTTGACACTTTTAACAACAGAAACAGTTGTTAAACTGCCTCAGGCTTCGACCATCACTGGTTTAGCAAACCTACCGAGCAATAGCTTATGCTGGTAGTTATAAAGTCAGGCGTTATAAACCAGTTAAAAAGACAGAAACAGTCTATTCAGAATATTTTCCAGACATCCATTTAATAGTCTCCTTGCTTTCTGTTGGTCAGTAAGCTACTGACAGCTATGAGGAGGCTCTTTAAGTCCAAATGACTTAAAATGTTGCTGTTCAATTGAGGGATAAAATATATATAAATGTCTTTAAAACTAAAATTTGTAAGTTTTTGTTTCTTTTTTTTTCCAGCTTTTTATTGTTATTACACTGTCACAAGTACAGAGCAATGAAATAAACTCTCTGCATTTAACCCATCCCCTTGGGGAGCAGTGGGCTGCCATTGTGCGGCGCCGGGGAAGCAGTATGGGGTTAAGGGTCTTTGCTCAGGACCCAGAGGGGCGGTCTGTGGCAGTTGGGCTTGAATCTCTTCCTGCTTCACCTTTGTGCTTTGTATTTAGCAATGCTTTCCATATCTTTTAGGACAAATAACTAAAAATACAATCCGATTTTTTTGTAATTTTGTTGTTTTCTTTCTCATTTACTGCTATTAAAAAGCTAAACTGGCATAAAAGGTTATTACAAGAAAGGATTTTTTTATTAATTCAGGTGAAGGATAAGGCTTTTTATTTCCGTGCTGCATAAAGCAGAAGTTGCGTTTAACCGTGAACCGTAGCTCAGTATATCTTCCCTTTTGTTAATTTTCAGTGCACAAACGCACAGTGGAACAGAGAACACCCTCCTCCTCTGCTTGGTTGCCCTCTCTGCTCTGTTATAATCCCTTCCTTGTTCTTCTTCCTGCTGTTCTAAGGTCCATCGCAGGTACAGCAGCAACAGAAAAACACAGAAATCATGCTGTCGGCAGAGGACATCCTTAGCAGCACCCAGCAGGTGATAGCAGGACTGGAAGCTCTGAGAGGAGAGAACCGCAGCCTGCTAGAGAACCTGCAGGGTGCGATGGAGAGCAAGCAGGAGTCTGAGAGCGGCTGCGTTGAGCAGGAGAAGACCAGCATCATCCGAAAGTCGCTGGAGAGGATTGAGTTGGGTCTGAGCGAGGCGCAAGTACGTCAAACCTGCAACACATTCTGCTGCTTTCTTTAGTTCTCATATGGGCTATATGTAGAACTCCACTACTTCCTGAACTTAGGCAGCTCTTTTGTTTCCTCTCTTTTTCTATTGGATGAACTGATTAATCCAGGTGCGCGTGACCTCAGTAAACATTCCCAGACACATCTGGATTAATCAGTTCATCCAATAATAACAACAGGAGAAAAAAAGCGGCCTTTAGTTCAGGAAGAGGTGGAGTTGTGATTAGAGCCCATTAGAAAACATTCTTTTAAAATGAGATGAATCTTTTACAGAATTTGGGAACTTGTTTTTTTTTTCTTTTCAAAAATGAATTACACTGTGTGCAGAATTATTAGGCAAGTTGTATTTTTGAGGATTATTTTTATTATTGGCCCACAATTGTGTTCTCATTCAACCCAAAAGACTCCTCAAAGGAATAGTACACCCTAAACTTGATTAGCCTTCATTTTCTACTCACCCCCATGCTGAACAACACTCTGGAGTACTTTTTTGATATCTCAAATGCATCTGGAGATCTGGGAGGCTTCTTGCTGTCTGCTGACATTCAAATAATGGAGGTCTATGGCGCCCGAGGCAGAAAGGTCCATAAAAGTCCACAAAAAACGTGTCAATATTCCTCCATACTGCTCGTCCAATGTATTCCAAGTGTCCTGAGTGGGTAGCATCCAGAATTTACTCGAAACGAAGTCATTTAGAATGTTTTTAGAGCATAAACAGTAGTGTATAGGATTTCCTGAAAGCGCGCACATGCGCGCTCACGACGCTACAGAAACCGCGGCAGACCAAGCCAGATGAAAGTGCGCATTCAGCGTCTGCTCTGCCGATAATGTAAGCGTAGAAGAAGAAATTTGCCGTTTACCTGTGCAAAGAAAGAAACAACAAAAGAAAAATGTCTGACGACTTCAGTGTTGAGGAAGAGCATGAGTTCATTGCCGAGCTGAATGCGCTGGTTTGGTCTGCCGGCTTCCGTAGCGTCGTGAACGCGCATGTGCGCGCTTTCAGGAAATCCTATACACTACTGTTTATGCTCTAAAAACATTCTAAATGACTTCGTTTCGAGTAAATTCTGGACGCTACCCACTCAGGACACTTGGAATACATTGGACGAGCAGTATGGAGGAATATTGACACGTTTTTTGTGGACTTTTATGTACCTTTCTGTCTCGGTCGCCATAGACCTCCATTATTTGAATGTCAGCAGACAGCAAGAAGCCTCCCAGATCTACAGATGCATTTGAGATATAAAAAAAGTACTCCAGAGTGTTGTTCAGCATGGGGGTGAGTAGAAAATGAAGGCTAATCATGTTTTGGGTGTACTATTCCTTTAATATCAAAGTTTCATATTTTTGGAAGTTGATGTGTGTTTTTTTTGTTTTTTTTTTAGATTTGGCCATTTTATGTGGATGTCTGTGTGTGCAGGTACATATTACTGTACAGAATTATTAGGCAACATAATAAAAAACTAATATATACCCATCTCACTTGTTTATTTTCACCAGTAACCAACAGCTCAAAATTCAGAAATAAACATTTGTGACAATAAAAGAAGAACAAATCAGTGACCAATATAGCCACCTTTCTTCACCATGACGCTCAAAAGCCTTCCATCCATATATTCTGTCAGTGTCTTGATCTGTTTGTGATCCACATTGCATGCATCAGCCACCACAGCCTCCCAGACACTGTTCAAAGAGGTGGACTCTTTTCCCTCCCTGTAGATTTCACATTTCATGAAGGACCACAGGTTCTCCATGGGGTTCAGATCAGGTGAACAAGGGGGCCATGTCATTATTTTTTCTCCTTTTAGACGTTTTCTGGCCAGCCAAGCTGTGGTGTATTTTGATGCGTGTGACGGATCATTGTCCTGCATAAATATATAATGTTTTTCTTGAATGATGGCGGCTTTTTATACCACTGTTTGAAGATGTCTTCCAGAAACTGGCAGTAGGTCTGGGAGTTGATCTTGACTCCATCTTCAACCCGAAAATGTCCCACAAGCTCATCTTTGATGATACCAGCCCATACCAGTACCCCACCTCCACCTTGCTGGCGTCTGAGTCCATAAGGAACTTGCTGCCCTTTACTGATCCAGCATGGTGCCCATCCATCCATCTGGCCCATCAAGAATCACTCTCATTTCATCAGACCAAAACACCTTGGAGAAATCAGTCTTCAGATATTTCTTGGCCCAAACTTGATATTTTGTCTAGTGTGACTTTTTCAGAGATGGCCTTTTTCCGGCTTTCTTTACCTTGGCCAGGTCCCTGAGCATTGAGCACCTTGTGCTTCTCGGCACTCCAGACATGTTGCAGCTCTGAAATATGGCACAACTGGTGGCTAATGGCTTCCTGGCATCTTTACGCTTGATCCTTCTCAATTCATGGGGAGTTATTTTGCGTCTTTTTTTTCAACACACTTATTGCGCCCTTGTTAGCTATTTGCCATGAACCGCTTGATTGTGCGATGATTAGCATGGGAAGTCCCATCCTTAGCGCAGACAGTGCCACAGATAGGAGGCTGGCTTGTTTTGTTTTTATGACCGAAATTATAGAAAACAACTTGCGAAGTTTGACCAGCTAAAAGAGTGAGGTGCGCGACAACGCTGCAACCCTTTTTCCACCTGGATCTCCGCTATTTTACGCCGTCATGTCCCTCCGTTGTCGGACTACTCGCCCCCACTTCCTCATCGCCTTGGCTGTATCTAGACCCACAGCGTATAGCGCAGACCGCGCTTCAATATTGAGCATAAATCAAAAATGTCTGCGTCAAGCTCACTGCAACACTGCAGGAGGATAACCAGCCACACAATCGTTCTGATCTGAAAGACAGATGTGAATACTGGTAGGTCTGGTGGTAACCAGGCAGTGTTAAAATGACAGAATTTCACTGGCCTTTCTTGTTCTGAATTTACCTTGAAATATATGATACTGGTAGCCTACTTCCACTTAGCCTGCCTCAAATCAAATAAAATTTCGCTGTGATGTCAGAACAGTTTCCATTAATTTTTTTTAAAACTTTGTTTCGCAAGTCAGTTTGGCCAAGATTCCATTCTGTGTCTTTTTTTTTTTTTTCATATTGCCGAGCAGAAAAATTGCAGCTGCTGGAAGATATCTGAATAATGTTCTGTATACCGTAATGGTATTTTATAGGTTCAAAGAGACACAAAATCTCTTTTTTTTCTTTCCACTGGTAGTCTGTTTTGAGCAAATAAAAACAGAGGCCTGCCTCTAATTCTGCCTTCCTTCAATTAATGGCGTGAACCAAGATGTACCTGAGTGAAATAAAGGCCCCGGCCTATATTAGAGGATTTAAGGTACTTAATTGGTAGTTGGCTTTCAAGCCTATACAGCTTGGAGCAGGACAGCATGTATGAAAAGGATGGTGTGGTGGAAATACTCAAATGCCTAATAATTCTGCACACTACTTAAAAAAGGTGTTGGAGGATGTATGAAAAATATCTTTGATGCATCCTTTCTAAACTGGTGTGGTTCAACTGTTGTCTATGGAAAATGTAGGATGCAATAAAAAATAAAATAATTCTTTGCCATGGGGTACTTTTCCGTGGCCATAAAAGGAGCATTTTTACTGGCCTAAAAGCATTTTGGGAATTTTACCCTAACCTCCCTTTCTCTCCAATTCTCTTTTTTAAAGATGCCCTTTAGAGTCTGAAATCAAGCCTTTTTTTCATCCTCAGTGAAGCCTTGAATTTTTTTTTTTATTCCACAAATACCTGCCGAGTTGCCCATCACGGTTTAAGGATGTCCTTTATTTTTTTGTATACATTTTTTATCATCATTATTAATATTTTTTGCAGGTGATGATGGCGCTGTCGGCTCATCTCGGTTCGCTGGAGGCAGAGAAGCAAAAGCTACGAGCTCAAGTAGGATTCATTAGGAACATCCCATTCCTGACTATAACCTCCTGCCTGTCTGTTGGTGCAGAAATCTGCAGCATTTGATTGGATTCTGTCTAAAACCTGAGATCTATTAATACCATCTCAATCTATTAAATCTCTTGAACTTAAATTTATTCTAACCTGTCCTGCACTCTTACTGTCAGATTCCTACATTTCTTTTTTTTTTTTGTCCCTTTACACCTCCTCCTTTTCATTTGGTCAGGTACGTCGTCTTGTTCAGGAGAACCAGTGGCTGAGGGACGAGCTGGCCAGCGCTCAGCAGCGGCTGCAGGACAAGGAGCAGGATGTGGTGACCCTGGAGGAGCAGAACAAACACCTGCAATTCATGTCCTCCATACGCAGATACGACCAGGACGAGCCTCCTCTGGTGAGGAGAATCTGCCTGCAGATCACTGTGTGAATGTTCTGGAAACAATAGATCTACAGGTGCTGGTCATTAAATTAGAATATCATGAAAAAGTAGATTGATTTCAGTAATTCCATTTAAAAAGTGAAACTTGTATATTATATTCATACATTACATACAAACTCATATATTTCAGATGTTTATTTTGTTTAATTTTGATGATTACAAATGACAACAAATGAAAATCTCAAATTCATCATATCAGAAAATTAGAATATTGTGAAAAGGTTCAAAATTGATGGCCCCTGGTGCCACACTCTAATCAGCTAATTAACTCAAACCACCTGCAAAAGCCTTTAAATGGTCTTTCAGTCTAGTTCTATAGGCTTCACAATCATGGGGAAGACTGCTGACTTGACAGTTGTCCAAAAGACGACCATCGACACCTTGCACAAGGAGGGCAAGACACAAAAGGTCATCGCTAAAGAGGCTGGCTGTTCACAGAGCTCAGTGTCCAAGCACATTAATAGAGAGGCGAAGGGAAGGAAAAGATGTGGTCGAAAAAAGTGTACAAGCAAGAGAGATAACCGCACCCTGGAGAGGATTGTGAAACAAAACCCATTCAAAAATGTGGGGGAGATTCACAAAGAGTGGACTGCAGCTGGAGTGAGTGCTTCAAGAACCACCACACACAGACGTATGAAAGACATGGGTTTCTGCTGTCGCATTCCTTGTGTCAAGCCACTCTTGAACCACAGACAGCGTCAGAAGCGTCTTGCCTGGGCTAAAGAGAAACAGGACTGGACTGCTGGTGAGTGGTCCAAAGTCATGTTCTCTGATGAAAGTAAATTTTGCATTTCCTTTGGAAATCAAGGTCCCAGAGTCTGGAGGAAAAGAAGAGAGGCACTTCATCCACGTTGCTTGAAGTCCAGTGTAAAGTTTCCACAGTCAGTGATGGTTTGGGGTGCCATGTCATCTGCTGGTGTTGGTCCATTGTGTTTTCTGAGGTCCAGGGTCAACGCAGCCACATACCAGGAAGTTTTAGAGCACTTCATGCTTCCTGCAGCTGACCAACTTTTTGGAGATGCAGATTTCATTTTCCAACAGGACTTGGCACCTGCACACAGTGCCAAAGCTACCAGTACCTGGTTGAAGGACCATGGTATCCCTGTTCTTAATTGGCCAGCAAACTCTCCTGACCTTAACCCCATAGAAAATCTATGGGGTATTGTGAAGAAGAAGATGCAATACACCAGACCCAACAATTCAGAAGAGCTAAAAGCCACTATTAGAGCAACCTGGGCTATCATAACACCTGAGCAGTGCCACAGACTGATCGACTCCATGCCACGCCGCATTGCTGCAGTAATACAGGCCAAAGGAGGCCCAACTAAATACTGAGTGCTGTACATGCTCATACTTTTCATGTTCATACTTTTCAGTTGGCCAACATTTCTATAAATCCTTTGTTTTTATTGGTCTTCAGTAATATTCTAATTTTCTGATATGATGAATTTGAGATTTTCATTTGTTGTCATTTGTAATCATCAAAATTAAACAAAATAAACATCTGAAATATATGAGTTTGTATGTAATGTATGAATATAATATACAAGTTTCACTTTTTAAATGGAATTACTGAAATCAATCTACTTTTTCATGATATTCTAATTTTATGACCAGCACCTGTAAAAGCACAAGTGCAATAGTAATGAGTGAAACTTTGTAGAATGTTACCAGCATTTGGAAAAGCTGATGTAATCACATTTTGGGTAAATTGAGTGTTAGATATTCTTCACTGACGTGTCATTAACTGGGAGAGCTGTTATTTCTGCTTCGTCACAAACGTCTTATTAGCTAGGCAGACAGATCAGCATAAGTTTCCCCTCAGGTAAACGTGTCACTCCTGTCATGCTGCTCTGGTGCCTCTATAAGGGAAAAACAGGATTGATTTGATTGAATCAAGACTTTATATTGTTAATAGTGTTTTAAAGTCCAAGAGTTGTGGCATTAGAAACACCGAGGAAAGGTTGTGTATTAAAGTAAAGCACCGTGCAAAAGCCCTGAAACGTCCATAGTCTTTACAGTGGTTATAAATGCATCTGTTTTCTTCTTTCAGGATGAAAAAGAAACTTCCTCCAACAAGGAGTCTCTGGATGATTTATTTCCTGCAGAGGATGAGGAACAGTCCCAGAGTAAGACATTATTAAAATTGGTTGGGCGGTTAAATAATGTACAATGCAGATCCTTTTCTCAAAGATACAGAAGGAATCCATGTCAGTAAAAAACAGTTCTTTCTGTCTTTGTTGTTTGAAAATTTTAAAAACCTTGAAGAAATAAATCAAACTCCATTAAAGGATGTTGATTAAAAGATTTCTTTAATGTTTGTTATTCAGAATTAGATTTGCTTTGAAATTGATTAATAGTGTCTGCTGACTATTTGCAGCTGACAATGTTTGAACTTTTCATTTGAAGTTTGGAGAATTTTTTTATTTTCCTCACGAAATGTGGAAGAAAAATCTTTATATTCTGTCCAGATTTCTGTAGAGTAAAATGCTAAACTTGTAGATTACTGTTAGCTCATTGATTTTATAATGTGCATATAATAAACTTTTAGCATAAACAATGGAGAAGTTAAACTATTAAATAATTAGGCAAGACGATATCAGACGTCCTCTTATAGCAGAACCTCTTGATTATCTGGAAAGCTCATCTTTTTTCTTTCTCCAGATTCCCTCCAGGATCCAGTTTCAGGCCTTTTTTAACATGAATCTTTTTCTCAATATTTACATATTTATGGCAACGACCAGGGAGACAAATTAAATTCTTTTTTCTGTTTAAATTAAGAAACTAAGAATTTATCAGAGACTAGATTTGATGTAACTACATAAACTGACTTCTACCACCTTGACTTTTTTTAATTCCAGTCTCCCAGCCTCACCACAGCAGCGCGGCGGCTGCAGCACAGCAGGGTGGCTACGAGATCCCCGCCCGCCTTCGGACGCTCCACAACCTGGTCATCCAGTACGCATCTCAGGGTCGGTATGAGGTCGCCGTGCCACTCTGCAAACAGGTGGGATATGGGTGCCTGATCCTTTGTCAAAGCCTGTTTCTGACCAAAACAGCAGCAGATCTGATGATAATTTCCTAACAGGCTTTGGAAGACCTGGAGAAGTCCTCAGGCCACACCCACCCAGACGTAGCGACTATGCTCAACATACTGGCTCTGGTGTATAGGTGAGGCAACAGAGGCTAAGCTTACCTCTCAGCCTTTTTAAAGCAAAAATAAATAATTTAGTAGTCCGGTTACTATGTCCACTTTCTTAAAAAAATAAAATAAAAAATGGATGTAGGGAAGAATACTTAAAAGTAAGATATCAATGTTCAGTTTAGTTAAATTATCATTTTGTTGACATATATTTGTTTTAAATGCAGAGATCAAAACAAGTACAAGGAGGCGGCTAACCTGTTGAACGATGCGTTGGCGATCAGGGAGAAAACACTCGGGATGGACCATCCGGCTGTAAGAGATGAGCCTTTATCAGGAGAACAGACTGAACTGTTCTGCAGTGTAATAGAATAAATCTGTGTTTAATATTTTATTCTTACCATCAAGTTATTTTGGGCTGGAGCACAGCAATATAAAAGGTGTTTATTCTTGTTGTTTTTGTCGTTTATTCAGGTGGCAGCGACACTTAACAACCTGGCTGTGCTTTATGGTAAAAGAGGAAAATACAAAGAGGCTGAGCCACTTTGTAAAAGAGCTCTGGAGATCAGAGAGAAGGTACGACCATCAGACTTCTTATGTATCACATTCTTTAAACGGCTCGTCTGTATTTGCCCTTACTACTAATTACTACTACTAGACGTACATGACCTTTGAGAAAAGATCAAAGTTAATAAAATAGGATTTTATTTATGGTTAAACGAAACACATTTTTATCCCTTTAAGGTATTGAGAAGCAAAAAAAACAAACATTTTACATTAGTGGAGAAAGATGACAATCTGAATATTGTAACGACAAATAAAATAAACATTAAGACTGATTCTTTCAACAATAGCATTTTTGTGTTGTAGAAATTCTTGGTAGATGTTTAAAGAGCACTCTGCTCTCCAATATAATTTTTAGCAGAAGTGATCAAGAGCCACAGCATGTGTTGCTCCAAAGCTGCAGGTTGCAGACCCCTGTTCTATACTGATATATTATGGAAGGGAATTGTTACCATATTTCAAAAGGCATTTCCAGAAATGCTTTTTCATTTTGAGAATGTGACTGCATTGTTTGACTATATATATATAAATATTTTACTATATAAATGCAAGTGCAAATAGGATGATTGATTACTAATTTAATTTATGAGTCAAGTAATGCAGCCACATTCTTAAAATGAAAAAGCATTTCTCGAAATGCTTTTTCATTTTCAAATTTTACATTTCAAATTTAATTTTGGTATGTATTAGCTGGGGTACATTTTGAAAAGCAAATCTCAAATGTCTTTTTCATTTTAATTAAGTAAAAGGATGAGCAGCGTTGAAGAAGAAAATGAAAATGCAAACAGGATTATTGATTACTAATTTCATTTATGAGTCAAACAATGCAACCACATTCATAAAATGAAAAAGCATTTCTGGAAAGGCTTTTTTATTTGAAATATGGTAACAATTCGCTTCCATAATATATAAAAATGTTATCTAGTTTGGGCTTTTAAATAATTTATTGGAGTGTTGTTTCTATGGGATCTGTGGTAGAGCAGTTTGTTACTCTGCAATTTAGCAATAAATAATAAAATCCTGGGTTTGAATCCCAGCTGCATATCAACCTGTGCATCAATGCTTCTGAAAAAAGAACCATTTATTTGAATGATTAAAAGCCCCAAATAATTATAGAAATATAACTTCTCTCAAGTGGAGGCAAACATCAGCACACCTTTAGTTACTTATGTTTTAATGTTCTTCTTGGAGATAAAGTAAGGGTTTTAGAAATAACCTTTTTCTGTTTACCAACGCTCAGGTTCTGGGTACAGACCACCCTGACGTGGCCAAGCAGCTGAACAACTTAGCCCTGCTGTGTCAGAATCAGGGGAAGTACCAGGAAGTGGAGCAGTACTATGAACGCGCTCTGCACATCTATCAGAGCAAACTGGGACCAGACGACGCCAACGTAGCAAAGACCAAGAACAACCTGGTGAGACGAGAAGGAAACGGTTTCATGTGGATGTGGTGTTTTTTTCTGTTGTAACATCAGATGTTTAAACTCTGCTGATCCAGTCGGAGGATGAACAGAAGAACAGGTGACGGACTTTTATTGCTTGTTTTCCTTCTCAGGCCTCATGTTATCTGAAGCAGGGAAAATACAGACAAGCTGAAGCTCTCTACAAAGAAATTCTGACCAGAGCTCATGAAAAAGAGTTTGGATCTGTTGAAGGTAAATTTTTTTTTTAACTGCATATGTTGTTGCAGATAGAGCTGGGCGATATGGCGATATATATCGTGAGGACGAGAGAAACATGTCTATCGTGACCTTTCTCCTCATTTTTTCTATCGTGATAAACTTCTTTATTATTATTATTACTGCTAATATACATTTTAATATAATCTGTTAATACAACATTTTGCGTTTTTGCTATGCAAACTCTAAGTTTATATAACGAAAAAAAAAAAGAGAATAAAAAGATAATGTGTAGAGAACGTGGTTTTGCGACACTACACCGCTTTACGTCACGCGGCTTTACACCATACGTTTGCGACATTACTGATGGAGAGAGCCCGTGAAATTTCTTTCTGGCTTGAAAAAAAATGAATGATGGACACCCAAGAAGATTTTACCGTTAAAGCGGAGCTGCCTGGCTTATATGCTAGTTGTCGGGCTTAAGTGGAGAGAGAGGTACGCAGTGGTGCGACGCATTATGCGTTGACTACGGACATGTGGATGAGTAGAGCAACACAGCCTTATATGAGTCTCACCATCCTTATCACGGACTGGACCCTCCGCGCTCGGTGTCTACAGACCGTGTACTTTCCTGAGGACCACACCGGAGTGATGCTCGCCCAAGGTATGAGCCTGACATTGCTATGCACTTTTGTACGTTCGCTAGTTTTACTATTATTGGTTTTACTAATATGCTTACACCAATGAACTGTGTGCTTTTACAGCATACGCATCCATTACTGGACCTCACTGATATTATAATTTATTCTGAACGGGGGAAAAGTGAAGGCTACTGCACCTGTGAGTGTTGTGTTTACACACAAAGGTGCTGTAGCATTCATTTTTTCCCCTTTAGAGTAAATCATACTGTGTGTATTAGTGTGTACTGTTTGTTATAGTTTGTTGTATAGTACTGTTGTGTTCCATGTTTTTAAACTGTGCAGCACGTTTCTCTTGTGACTGCTGAAAAATAAAGAGAACAACTGAAACACCCATAATTGTGGTACAGGTCGTATGATGGATCACATTTTTAACTACACTGACACTCCTATCCAGTAGAACATGTGGGCATTTTAATTAATGTAGTTATTACCAGTGCAGACACATTTCTTCTTAAATAGGCGAGGCGCCTCCTAGTGGAAAACAAGGTAAGTGAAAGACAAGAGAAAAAACTGGCCTTGGAATTTTATAAAATGTCAATAACAAATGAATATTAAATGATTAATTACTGCAGCGCAATAGCCAAGATTCTATACTGTTCACTGTCATGGCCGCAAATTGCATAACTGGTGTTCTTGGTTTGGGGTTGGGATTCTCATATTAGGAAACAAGATGATGGGTAAAAAATAGGCGATGAAAGATTTTTTTCAACCCTGTCCATCTGACGGACTATGAAAACATAAAATGCAACATCAGTTGTGGTATATCGTGATATATATCGTTATCGTGATATAAAATAATCCATATCGTGATATAGTATTTTTTCCATATCGCCCAGCCCTAGTTGCAGATGTCTTAAAATTTAGCAATAAAAATCCTCCACCAAAAAAAGCTTCAGAACTCTACAGTTAACATTTCACTCTGAATAATTAATGTTTAATGCATTTTATGAAAATTAAAAAGGCAAATCCATGTTAAAGGTGCAGAAGGAGATCTTTAACGATCTGTAACGCATCTGTTACCATGTGGCTTCAAGATCTCCCCACGGCCGTTTGGCAAGCAGTGAAATAGAAGGTCTGGAAGTGAAACTAAAATAAATGGTCCCCGCTACAGTGAGAAATCAATGAATAACCCCAACCTATCACGATTGGTTCCTGACATGTCAATCATGGTCGTCTGCTTGTCCCTCTGCCCTGTGCGTGTACCCTGACACATGAACGAATCGACCCCCCAATGCTCCTGCAGGACGCCATGGCTGGTAAACTAGCAACTGCTATGCTACATTCAGACCTAAAGAAGCAAGAGCAGCAAAAACAACCGGGCTGCTTCATTTTTTATGCTTGTACAAGTTTAGTTCTGATGCGCCGCTGAAGCATCTTTGCGAGGGTGACCAGATTTGGGTTCCTGAAAAGAAGGACACTTTTTTTTCTGGCCGGGGGAGAAGTGTTGACTCTTGGGCCGCTGACTGGACCGGACTTCAGCCGAGAGCCATGAGCCGCCTGTCCTCAGCCGGAGGAGGGGAGCTTGGGACCGATAAGGCAGGTGGGGGGAAGCATGGGGACGCAGGTTTCCAGGCTACGGTCACCGGGTCGGGTTCGGTCGCTCCCTCCCCCGCCCCGCTGGCTCCCTGTTTTGACTACGTGCTGCACTGTAGTCGACCAAAATCCTGGTTGCTGCTCTGGGCTGCGTGGTGGAAAAAGTGGGTCTGATGCGCGTTAAGCGGAGCTACCCTATCCTTTCTTTGCCTGTTACAATGGCAGCTATATTTGCTGTGATCAGTGGGTGAATAGTTTCAATCTATTTTGAAGTCAAAAAGAACCTGAAAACATGTTCTGTGCATTCAGTTCATCCAGATTACCATCCTGCCTTTAAATATTATTTCTGTTGGAGCTGCCCAGACCCCCGTACACCTGCGGTGCGCTGTCACTAGGAATCCCATTCAACAGCAGCCTCTGGAAGGCCTTTTCCATGTACGTAATCCAAAGTGTAGGCACCAGGATAATAAAAACAAGCATTTTCCAGCAGATTTTGGCTTAAGTTAATTTAGGCGTTAATAAACTGTTTCAGAGCTGTGATCATAGCGCTCTGCATCATCAGCGCTGCTCCTGCAGCTCTAGACGCAGTCTGAAGGGAGAGGCATGGTTGTGTATGTTCAAAAACATAGCTTGCTGAAACCGTTTTTCCAAGATCCCCTACAGCACCTTTAATCACCTGTGTGGTGAAGTTCTGCAGGACAGAGATGAGTCAGTGGGTGTCCCCTGTCTGTCCTCCAGGTGACAGTCGTCCTCGCTGGTCCAGTGTGGAGGAAAGTGGCTCCACATCAGAAGGACTGAAGCGCAGCAGCTCCTTCACCAAACTCAGGGAGTCGATACGTCGGAGTAGCGAGAAACTGGTGCGCAAACTTAAAGGAGTCGGAGTTGAGGAGATGACCCCGAGGAATGCTGGGTAATTTGACCTGAAACGACTTGTTTACGAGAAAACAAGTTTGTTGGTTTCCTGTCAGGGTGGTTGAATTCTTCAGCCACATAAATGTCCCATTTCAGCAAGAGTTTTCTCTTATCTTTGCAGGATGAAGAGAGCGAACTCCCTAAACGTGTTGAATGTTGGAACCAGAGAAAATCTGGATGGAACCCAGGTGATTATTTCACTTTTTCAGACAAAAATATTATATTTATTTATTTTTCTGTTACAGATTATATTAAAAATGAAACTACACCCCAGATTTGAGTTGCTTGTAAACATCTGCTCCAGGAATTTTCACCATCTCTCTTTACAACAGTCTCTCACTTCATTACGTTTGGAAGATGTTTATTATTCTAGAGCAGATGTTTTTCATCATGAGAGAGAAGAACCTTTCTCCTTACAAATAATCCCATATTGGTTGAGTCTCTTTTCTAGATGTTATTTTATGAGCTTTGAAATACTTGGTGAGGCCTGTAGTGTCAGGAAATTCTCACCTATTTTAATTGTGCTTTGGTGCTCGCTGTGTCCATAAAATGATCTTAGTGGTTAAATTGTGGAGAATCTAAGCTTTCCAACAATGTCTAACATGTCTATATTGGTAAACATTTTACTGGTGTAATTTTCATGTATTCTGAGTTTTTAGTTGTAAACGCTTTAAAACGGGTTGCCGGCAACCCGGTTGGTTTTGAGAGGCTAATTTTTATGGACATTATTATTATTGGTTGGATTGTTTGGAAATGTCCTTTAACCCTTGATGCGCAGCCATTGCTGTTTTCTTCCTTTCCTTCCATCATTTTAACACAAACAAACATGCATTTAAGAACCCTAACCCTTTTCTCAAGGTTTTAATTCTTCATAATAACCAGTTAAAGATCAAGTCAATTTAATTATCAACACCCACGTTCTACTTACTTCCCTTAATTGAAAAATCTGAGTCTTTCCTTTTGTAGATGCAGTAGGCAGCACTTAAAGTGATCTCAGTTTGGAGAATCAGGAAGTATTCCTTCTGGAGGAGTCAGGCTAATGGCTAATGACTGAGAACAGGACCCAATTACGAGAGCGACCTTTAACTGTCTCAGAAACTCTGTGACTTTGTGCTGTTGCTGCAAACTATGCATTGTCAAAACATGTTTTGCACAAAATAGATCTACTGTTTATACAGTGGAGGAGTCCAGGTGTCTGAGTGACAGGCAAATAAAAGCATGCAGTTACTCAGAGCAAAAACATAAGAAAACAAACTATAAAATTATATATTTTTTAATAGAGATGTACGGCTGATTATAATGATTTAAACATTTATAAAGCATACCTGCACATTATGCATATAAAGAGACTGGTAAAAATTCTCAGTCATCCAGGTCATAGTCATTCCAAAAAAGTTAAAAAACAATTATAGACAAAGGACATTCTTTTGATGACTAGAATGTTCACATTTTGGACAGAGAGGGCAGGTGTTTTAAAAGGGGTGTGAAAGAAGCCATTTATGTTAAGAGAGAAAAAACCTCAAACAGAGGGGGTGGGCTCAGATTTCAGCTCTCAAAAACCTACAGTTGATTCCTTCCTGCTGTCATAATCCTCATCGCCATGCAGGGAACCAGGACCCCTCGCCTGGTCAGCCAGGCCAACAATGCCCCTAACTACTCCCGCTTTCAGAAGCATAGACCAGTATTGTGTATTTCAGGCTAACAAAGACCTCAACGACTCCCCATTCCTAAGCAGCGGACCTGTTCTTCCCGTTCAATTTGCTTTTTAACGCTTGGAACTCAATGCTAATTCTGACATTTTGAATTGAAAAGGTTTCCTGGATGTGAAGCGAAATGTCTTCAAACTTGGAAAACAAAGTCCTATGGCTTGTTTTTTTTTTGCTTTTATGAAAAAAAAGATAAAAAGACTTTACTAAAATAAAATTCATCTAATCATCTAATCCCTACAAAGGAAACTAAATACATTACCTTAGCTTGACTGCATGAACATTTCTCTCTAAACAACCAGACTGAGATCAGTACAACTGCTGACTTCCTAACGAAGCATCAGCTTTAGTTCTTTGCATTTAAATCATGTTGTCATGTTAACAGCTGTGTTTTTTGCTCCTCAGTCAACTCAGCTGACCGACAGTCGAGGCTTGAGCTGCAGCACGCAGAGTCTGACCAGAAGAGGCTCACTGGGTGGGACCAGCTAACACAAAAATGACGCACAATTCATTTATATTCAAGAAAAACTGAAGGGATCTTTTTAAAACTTGAAAGAGGTAAAAAACACTCTTCTGATTTATCATCAAGAGGAATCCCCACGACGAGTCTACAAAAGAAGAACTGAGACGGTTGTTCTAAAACAGCCGATAAAGAAGCACATTTGCCGGTTTAGCTTTGACTCATTTAACAGATATTTGTAGTGGGTTTGATGATGAGAACAGGAAAATAGATTTTATAACCACACTTTAGGGTGCTGCAACACTGGACTAAGCCTGAACCAGAACCGGACTGGCCTGCAGGCTCAGGGTGTGATGTGGAGCATAGGAGCTACCGATAGATTTTAAAACGTTCCTCTTAAAGACTTAGACAGATTTATTTTGTCATTTTGCATACACAAGTGTATACAAAAAGAAATTGTTTAAAACAGCTCTAGAATTTCTTTTTTTTAGGTGCAGCCTAGAAAAAAGAACAAAGGTGCAACATTCAACAAGTTTAATGGCTGAAACAAAGCAACACAAACCCAACTGTGAGGATTATCAACCAGCTTTAAGACACTGGATGCAGCAGACTGCAATTTAAACCATTTATTTAAACCTACCTTATGCTGATTGCATTACTTCATCTAAACAATAGGTGTCACTTTTAGTGACAAAAAAAAGCATCTGCTGCTTCATTTTTGATGCTTGTACACATTAAGGTCAGACGCACCTCCAGAGCATCCATGATGCTCCTAAAGTGCGTCCAGTAAAGTCTGTCCAGGTGCATCTGATGCTTCTGTGTTCAATGGCAGAGAGCAGCTTTGCTATATTTGCCGTTATAAGTGGGTAAAAGTAGTTTTAATATATTTTTAGGCGATAAAGTCCACCTCAAAACATCGTCTGTGCAGTCAGTTCATCAAGATGACGATCCTGCCTTGTTATTATTTTGCTGATGCTCAGATCCCCACATACATAGCAGCTGGGAGGTTTCCTCTACTGTTAGTGTCACATCCTTCGCTCCGCCCTGCTGCGCTCCAGGTCTCCTGTTCAAAGCAAAGCATACAGGCTCCGCTGTTATTCCCGTCTTGCTCTGCTCCGACTTCCTCTCAGCTCGAGGAGAGCATGCGCGATATTATTATTAAATTCATAGGAGCAAAACGTGGAAATGAACGATGAATTTAATATGACTTATTTAAAAAAATCCACATCAGCATCCATATGTGTGCAGTTTCTGCCTAAATGTTTTCTTTTTGTTGTGGATTTTTGTCACAGGGATAACTTGGATTATACAGAATATTTTTTTATGGAATATGTTATCATTTGATTTAGATAAGAAATCTGCTTCCTTGTATGCAGAGTTAAATATATCTCTGCTCTGTATTTTGACGTGCGGAAGAGAAGTGGTGGATGTGGAACTGTTCTCATTGATTAACCTGACAGACAATTATTCGGTACAGCGTACGTGAGCGGAGCGGACAACTGACAAAGTATGTGGAATCTGGGGGTTAGTGTCTCTAAGTTGTGGTTCAAACTGCAGGCACCAGAATAATAAAACAGATTTTGCCGGCAGGTTTGCATGTAAACCTGCACCATCCGTTGCGTGCAGTGTGAACGTAGCATACGTGTTGAAAAGTAAAAAATAATGTAGAATTTACAGACTTTTAATATTGCAAACATTTATATTCTTAAAGAATCTTTCCCCTCTGTTCTTCCCACTATCGTCTTCAATTTATTGCAGAAAAAATTCAGTGCATTACTAATTAAGTTAATACTTTTATGTTTTAAGTTTATGAAGAGTGACGGAAGCTGAACCCAGCTGATGACCCAGATACACTTATTATCTTATTACAAGACAGGGTCACAGAAGTCAGCAGTGGAAAAACAAATGTTACTGCATCATATGCAACTAAAGCAGGAGGGGTTTTGGTTTAGTTCGGGGTGACATCATTGCAGAGTTAGTCCAGTGTGAGAGGCACCGTTAGCGGCAACAAAATCTTTAAAACGAGCTGAAGTATGTCTTCATTTCTTTTTGTAGTTTTTATTCTGATCTGTAAAAGTCAGTTTTAACAGAAATTATTTAAAATTTTAAACACTATTTAACTTTTAAAAAAATGATCTGATGACTGTTTCTTTTCATTCTTTACAGAAACCAGAAAAATCCTAATTATGGAATACGTTTTGTCTAAGGATGTATATATTAAAAAAACTATTTATGAAGTAGATTTTTATCAACTTTAAAGCAAACTCTCAGTTATATTTGAAGAAACTTTGATTTTGGGCTTTATACATAAAAAAGTTTCTAAGAATGAAGTTAAAGAAGTGAACTATTGAAGTGATTTCCATATGATGAAGGGTGTTGCCTTTAAAACATGGAGCTTTTTTAAATTGGAAAATCTTTTTTTTGTTTTTTTTCTTTATTACAGCTGACATATCATCAGAATATGGATCAATACGCACATCTATGATGCTAGGCTCACTGTAGAGATGTTTACAAACTCTACATGTAAAAACATTCCCGAAGAAATCTCAGGATATCTTAAGTTGAAAAACTGATGAGAAATAGTTTTTATGTCATGCAAACCTCCGGCTTCACAGAGAGGCTGAGGGTAGAACAACTCTAGACATAAATAAATTTATTTGGGGCGTAAATCATGAAAACCACTACATATTATTAGTAAACAGGGAGACTCACTGAGTCTTTGGACAATTTGTAGCTGATGAAGGCGGACTTTCCTCTGGACCTGATAGGAACATTCCTCTAAGATCACTGGATTTTATTTTACCACTAATGTCTTTGGCAGAATTTGTTGTTTTTTTGTTTTTGTTGAAACACTACAGCATTTTATTCATGTAGCTCTGCAGTTCTCCATAGGGGTGAAGAGGTAGAGCAGAGGTTTGATATATGCAGAGGTTACTAGTCTTACATGCATTTATCTGTGATTAAATTCCCAACCTTTGGGTTCATCTCTGCTTCGCCTCTTTCTGGATAATGCAGAAAAAATGATTAAAAAAATGCCTCCTCAGTTGAGTTATTTCTAGTAGTCACAGTCTCACATTCTTATTATGCAAACTGAAGTGTTTACATTTAAAATCTTAGATTGAAAACTCCAAAGAAAAGCCAGATGTTCCTGCTGATGAACGTTTCCATCAGAGAAGCTGACAGATACCGGGGTCGTAGGTCGATTCTCGGTTTTAGCTTTGTGAAGATTACTTGAAGTTTATAGGTCAAACCAGCACTGAAAAGTTTCTGCAGCCTGGATAAAATCACACACTACTCATTCTCCCCTGGTCAGATCTTTCCTATCGGTACGTTTGCTGTGTATTTAGGGGAGTTGAAGTCATACTGTTAGTAACAATTATTAAACACACATGTAGGATTAAAACTGAAGATGTTTACTACGGTAAAGAAGAATGTTTGTTTTATATCTGTTTTTTGTTGTCATGGGTTATCAGTGGATTAAATATAATTTAACTGACAGATGTGTTTTGAATTTATTTAAAAGCAGTTGTATCATGTAAAGTAGAATCCTGATGTTTTATAATGAGTGACCTACAATCAGATTTGGATCAGAAGCACAGGATTACACTACAGGTGCTGGTCATAAAATTAGAATATCATGAAAAAGTAGATTGATTTCAGTAATTCCATTTAAAAAGTGAAACTTGTATATTATATTCATACACAACATACAAACTCATATATTTCAGATGTTTATTTTGTTTAATTTTGATGATTACAAATGACAACAAATGAAAATCTCAAATTCATCATATCAGAAAATTAGAATATTACTGAAGACCAATAAAAACAAAGGATTTATAGAAATGTTGGCCAACTGAAAAGTATGAACATGAAAAGTATGAGCATGTACAGCACTCAGTATTTAGTTGGGCCTCCTTTGGCCTGTATTACTGCAGCAATGCGGCGTGGCATGGAGTCGATCAGTCTGTGGCACTGCTCAGGTGTTATGATAGCCCAGGTTGCTCTAATAGTGGCTTTTAGCTCTTCTGAATTGTTGGGTCTGGTGTATTGCATCTTCTTCTTCACAATACCCCATAGATTTTCTATGGGGTTAAGGTCAGGAGAGTTTGCTGGCCAATTAAGAACAGGGATACCATGGTCCTTCAACCAGGTACTGGTAGCTTTGGCACTGTGTGCAGGTGCCAAGTCCTGTTGGAAAATGAAATCTGCATCTCCAAAAAGTTGGTCAGCTGCAGGAAGCATGAAGTGCTCTAAAACTTCCTGGTATGTGGCTGCGTTGACCCTGGACCTCAGAAAACACAATGGACCAACACCAGCAGATGACATGGCACCCCAAACCATCACTGACTGTGGAAACTTTACACTGGACTTCAAGCAACGTGGATGAAGTGCCTCTCTTCTTTTCCTCCAGACTCTGGGACCTTGATTTCCAAAGGAAATGCAAAATTTACTTTCATCAGAGAACATGACTTTGGACCACTCACCAGCAGTCCAGTCCTGTTTCTCTTTAGCCCAGGCAAGACGCTTCTGACGCTGTCTGTGGTTCAAGAGTGGCTTGACACAAGGAATGCGACAGCAGAAACCCATGTCTTTCATACGTCTGTGTGTGGTGGTTCTTGAAGCACTCACTCCAGCTGCAGTCCACTCTTTGTGAATCTCCCCCACATTTTTGAATGGGTTTTGTTTCACAATCCTCTCCAGGGTGCGGTTATCTCTCTTGCTTGTACACTTTTTTCGACCACATCTTTTCCTTCCCTTCGCCTCTCTATTAATGTGCTTGGACACTGAGCTCTGTGAACAGCCAGCCTCTTCAGCGATGACCTTTTGTGTCTTGCCCTCCTTGTGCAAGGTGTCGATGGTCGTCTTTTGGACAACTGTCAAGTCAGCAGTCTTCCCCATGATTGTGAAGCCTATAGAACTAGACTGAAAGACCATTTAAAGGCTTTTGCAGGTGGTTTGAGTTAATTAGCTGATTAGAGTGTGGCACCAGGGGCCATCAATTTTGAACCTTTTCACAATATTCTAATTTTCTGATATGATGAATTTGAGATTTTCATTTGTTGTCATTTGTAATCATCAAAATTAAACAAAATAAACATCTGAAATATATGAGTTTGTATGTAATGTATGAATATAATATACAAGTTTCACTTTTTAAATGGAATTACTGAAATCAATCTACTTTTTCATGATATTCTAATTTTATGACCAGCACCTGTAGGTCTCTTTTTTTCCTCAACAAACACTAAGTCTCTGTAAAAACTAAATTTGACCATCCATTTCAAACTCATACAAACAACCTAACTATCATTTTATGCAGGAATAAATTGCAGACATTTTTATGTGTGCAAGCATTTTGGTTGTATTAATATTGATGCCGATTCAAATCAAATGTCCTTGTAATAGTAATATGCAGATAAACAGAGCAGCATTTTATGTCACCAAATAAAGACATCCCTGCAGTGGTTTCCCCTAGCAATGACTATTTTGTATATGAAAATCTAGGTTAAAGTTGCTCTGAATTATGTGTGACATATTATTTCTATTTTGTCTTATCCTGATAAATACCGTAAATTCTCTAATATAGGCCCGGGCCTTTATTTCACTCGAGTGCATCGCGGTCCAGGCCTTTATTGGATAGAGGCCAGAATTAGAGACAGGCCTCTATTGCTATTTGAGCAAAACAGACTACCAGTGGAATGAATAAAAATTAGATTTTGTGTCTATTTGAACCTATAAAACACTAGGTTCATTTATTGAAAAAGTATAGTTACCATGGTTTGAGTTAATTAGCTGATTAGAGTGTGGCACCAGGGGCCATCAATTTTGAACCTTTTCACAATATTCTAATTTTCTGATATGATGAATTTGAGATTTTCATTTGTTGTCATTTGTAATCATCAAAATTAAACAAAATAAACATCTGAAATATATGAGTTTGTATGTAATGTATGAATATAATATACAAGTTTCACTTTTTAAATGGAATTACTGAAATCAATCTACTTTTTCATGATATTCTAATTTTATGACCAGCACCTGTAGAGTGGAGCCGCTACCTCGCCTCATCTAAATGAGTCAGTTTTCAGGATGCGTAACAAAAGCTTCACAGTGGAGGTTTCCAGGCACACACCTTTGGAAAGTGACCGGAACTGGTTTGGAGATGCCGTGAAACACCAGGGGAAAGATCTGGGGACTGTTTCTAGGATAAGTCTGGGTTCAACTTTTAATTTTCACATTTTTTCTCTTTAAAATAATCTTTATTCTGCATGTCCCTGCTACTCCCCCTCCTCCACCTGCTGCTGTAAGTCATTGGACTCAAGGATTTTTTTTTTAAGTTTTCTGCTTGGAAATATTTATTAAAGTGATAACACAATGACCCTGATGCTACAGGAGCAGTGATAGCGTTTTTAACCCTTTATAGTGAAATCCTATGAAAATCCACATTTCAAGCCAATAGTGTTATTGGAATCCAGGACAAGACCTTATTAGCTTTGCAACATTTTGATGGCAAAAATGAATGTCAATGTAATAACAAGAAACGCCAACTTGCCCAAATATATTAAGAAAATAATAAGTGCTTCTATAGGGAATTCATGACAAACAATCTGATAGTGAAAGAAACACTTTTTTTGGTACAACATAACCTTAGAGGCATTAATGCTGATACTGCCACGTTTTTAGTTTATAAACCTAAATATAATTGTTAACTAGGCTTCTTAACTTTACCTTTTAACTTTTCAATGTGCTTTTTACCTTTTTTTTTTAACTTTTTACTTAGCTTTTTTCCTCTTTTCCTTGACTTCACATTTCAATTAGATTTTTACATTTTTTTTCTTGACTTGTTTACTTTTTTCAACTTAATTTACAGTAGGTAATATATCATTCAACAGCTCATTTAATTGATCAAAGGCCTAAATAAGATGCACAGCCATGCAGCAGTATCTTTGCTGAATGGATGGATATAGATGTTGTGCTTCTAGACGTCACTGAGAGACGGAGGGGACTCCATTTGTAAGGGGTATGCAAGTGATCAGAAATGGAAACTTGCCCTATAAAGGTTTAAGGCCAAATGGTTTTGTGACAGTTGGTAACGGGTTAGTAAACCAAGTTTTCTCTGGTTTTTTCTTCACCTTTAACTGTGCAAACACTACACTAAATCCCCAGTTCTCCTAGTTTAAAAAATAAAAACACTTGGAGGTTCACTCACTATTATCAGTCACAACTGAAGTAGTTTGTATCTAAACTAGGCCTGCTGAGAACTCAGGCTGCTAAATGTACCAACTGAACAAATCAACTTGTGGCAGCCCTCCCACCTTTGTATATTTTCAAAACAAACACACCAGTAGGTGGCGCTGATAGAAGATATTCCTAGAATTATGGCAAGTTTTATTTCAGTGCCATTCTGGTAAGGAGGGTTAAGGGGACAAAATTGGACACATCATAAATGTGACTGTACCGTGAAATAAAACATAAATGTATAATTTATATAACATCATTAAATTATTTGATATGCAAATCATTTAGAAAAAGGTAAAATAAATAAGTTACCATGAAACAAGTATACCTTTAAAACTATTACACTATTAAAAGTAATTTCTTAATTTAAATTTGTTTCTGTATACTTTTAATTATTCCATTCTAGTAATTTCTGCACAAACTAGGAAATCATCTCGTCTGCAGCCAATCAGAGGCCAGGACCTCTTTAAGAACCACTGTGCTTTCTCTGTGTTTGACTGGTCAAGCTGACATATAAAATAACTGAATACATCTGCCATGCAGATAGAATAGCATCATAAAAGTATTAATTTAATGGTTCACTTAATTTTTTTAATTGAATGATACATTTATTTCATGGCATATTTATGTAATTAATTTGTTCTCTTTGACCCTCCAAACATCTGGTCATAAACGAATGAGATCTTATTTAGAATAATTTAGGTTTAACTGACAAATATGAAATATAATACTCTTGTTAAGAGACTGGAATGTTTATTGGTTATAAAATACCTTCTGCAGCCTTAAAAATTGTATTTCTTTAGTATAACATCAAAGTTTGAAAGAATGTTTAACTGGAAAATATTTCAGTGAAAGATTTCTCATTAAACTAAGCTGATTATTCAATATGTGAATAGTTTGGTTTATTCTATAAGATCTTCCATTATTAATCTGTATTCCTAAATACAGTACGTGTTCACCACTATGATTGTGAATACGTGATAGTCTGCATTATGCTCTAACTTTTTATACATTTATAAAATGCATAATATGACTGTTGGAAGTTGAACAAGTCAGCTTCCAGCTGTTACTGTATCTCAGCCTCCATTTCTCACTGGCTGTCAGGAACAGGTGTGATTTAGGTCTGTGATCAGTTCACATCTACCTGACAGGATCCAGATCCAAACTGTTTGACAGCGACTTGGGTTAGATCTGGATTATCCCTGCTCACACTGTATAACAACCACATCTGCAGAATAAAGGAGACTTTTTGACAGCTGTGCAGTAAACTTCATGGTTTTTCAAACAAATCTAAACCTTGATACTTAACATCTTTTACCACTATTTCAAAAGTGAAAGCATTGTGTTTTTGTTTTTTTAATTCTTGATCTAATCTAAATCTCGTGTGTCTGATTCAACCATAGTAGCTCTAAAACATATTCAAAGCACCACATCTGTTTTTGTGTTCCTGAAACATATTTTGCACCTTTAAATGTTTAGTGGAGGATGTCCTTTTTCTGTGTGGATCATCAAAATAACTGATCCTCCTAATTGTCAATCATTATGGTGATATGTTTATGTAAGGCCGTCCTACGTGCTTGTCCCCATTTCCACTTACCAAGGACGAGTCTGACAAAGTGGAAAAATTGCAAATCTTCTTTTGGAAAGTCAGCTTGTATGAGCGATGCAAACAGCAATTTTTAATCAGAGCGTGCATGAGGAGAAATGTGCTCATGCACGCTCTCTCACACGTTAATAGGCGTTCCCTCTTGGCAGCGGATACAGGCCTGTGCATGTGCGCTTTTTAAAAAAAAGGTCTTTTCAAAAAAATTGCCAAAATCCTCCACAATACTTTAAAGGTTTTTAAAGTAGCAGTTTATATTTGCATTACTATGACATGAAGTAAATAAAAACAACGGTTTGGTAGAACCATTTATAGAACAAAAAGAAAGGTGTAGAAAGTGTCTATTTACAGTCAGAACAAAAAACCTGCAGTAGTTTCAGTCTGTATGACAGACATATTATGGGGCTGATTAATAAACATCACCCAGTTTGTATTATTTGTGAAAAAAAAAAAAAAAAAACTGCTAACACAAATTGTTGGTTCTGGTCTATGGGACGATCTTGAATCAGGTCTCTGGATCCAGTTTCGTCGACAAACAGCAATACCTGCTGATGTGCTGATTAGATTATGGTCTCCTGTTTAAGTAATATAGAAATATATCTGAGCCAATCAAGTATCAAAAAAATATTTTCTTGCCAATTAATACTTTTAAACAGCAGCTTCTATCTGAAGGCATCAAGTAGGAAAGAAAACAGCTCCATGAATGTTGGTCACTGCAAATGTTTTTACCAGGTTTAGAAACATCAGCTGTTTTTTCACCCTATTCTGTTACACATAGAAGAAAATGTAAAGACTGATAAAGACAAGAACTGGTGTGAGAAGAGAAATCTGATTAAATAAGGTCCTCCTTTTGTTCAACTGTAAACTGGAGGTGAAAAGAGCTTCAGGTCTGATGAGCCATCTGGGAGATTTTCTGCAACATTTCCTCCGATTCCAGCTGCTCCAGAGTCAACAGAGACAGACCCAGCTGGTCCTCCTGGAAGCAGAGAGGTTTTCAAAGCTGTAACAACACTATCGTTATATTTACATTTGCATAATAAAGTAATTCTCATGTTGCAGCTGAAATTGTTGAAAACATTTCCTTAGTTTAGAGATTTTATACTGCGTTACCTGTCTGAAAGGCTGAGCCATCTGACGGAGGAAGTGCTTGGAGAGCTGGACGGCCTCGTCCACCGTGAGGTTCAGACTCCCATCGTTGATGTGCTCCTGAATCCACCGAGGAAGCTTCCCACGTTTGTCTGCTCGTGCGTATCGCTGCAAGTTGGGGGGAAAAAAACGCAGGGATTTTTTTCCGAAAGCCTATTTTTTTTTTTCTCTTTGCTCTTTCACAGGTTCCAACGCTCACCTTGTCTGCGAAGATCATGAGGCCGTAGTCCGTCTTGCCTCTGATGGCTCTGCCCACGCACTGAGCTGCATGCCGCATGGCGTCAAACGTCAGGAAGTCGTTCTCTCTGATCTGAAACTGATCCCGCAGATACTCCAGACGAGCCTGAATAAAAGATGGCCGATAGGAAACTTTAGATGACCCCTAAAAGTGGCGGCTGTTGCTGCACATCAATATGAGAACGCTTGTAAAGTTTATATTCCTTCATTGTTCCACACACCCTTAAAAGTGTTGAAGCTTATATTTTCCCAGGAGTAAACGTCTAACCCTGCAATGCTCAGAAATATAAGAGGGGCAATTACAAACTCCACAGTTTTAGATGGATCGTCAGATTTTAAAGGCGGCTGGTTTACAGGATTCTGCTGAACTTGATCATCTAAATCAGGCGTGTTAAAGCAGGGAAACCAGGACTGTAGAACCCAGATGGCATGTTGTAGCAATCGTAGGGTTCTTTGAAATGTTAAAAGTCTTATTTTTTTCAATTATAGCCCCGTTTACACTACCCTCTGCAAACTGACCCGTGCCGAGTTCATACCGAGCTTGGATCAGTTAACCGCGCAGAGTTCTCAGTTCCTTAAGACGGTTCAAACATCACGCTAGCACTCTCCTCCTAGTGGCGATCTGCGGTACTACTGCTCTCTAGGGGTAAACAAATCAACATGCCGGCGCTCGTAACATTCAGGAAGTTTGGTTATAATTGTGATATTTCGTTTGCGGAGAGTCAGGGGAAGAAGGCAGCCTTTGGTGAAATTACATAACAGTCGGCTTTTGGGAAGTGGATACGACAAACGATAGTCTAATCAGGGCTTAAAGACGGAGGAAACAACGACAGACATTAAGGTTCATCACACTGCCAAGCAGAATCATCACTGGAAATCATGTGGCGCGGTAAGGAAGCTAGTATTTTTATGAATGTCTGATTACGGAGGCTGACTGTAAGGAGATGACGCGGTCTGCTCATGTGCGCTTTGTTATCCAAGAACCGAGCCAGAACTGAACCGTGCCGAGCCCTATTGATGAACTAGTACCAGTTTAGTCTGGTTCGGTTGTGTCTGGCACGGTCCAGTTCAGTTCTGCTTGCCATTTACACTCAGTTATCTCAGAACAGTTTCAAAAAGGTTGTGTAAATGGGACTTATGACTACATTTCCAATCCATCCCTCCAGGGTTTTTGCAGGAAGGCCTGCTGCCCAGCTCCAGCTGTCACAGTACAGCCAGGCTACACCATAATCATGCCACCAGTCAGTCACTGGGTCACAATACGGTGGCCAATGGGTGCAAATGTGCAGTAAATGACCAAACAAGCTGCAGAACATGAATGATGCCAACTCTAAAAAGCTGCAGACACTAAAAGAGGAAGCAAACTCAATCAAAACGACACGTTTTTGAAGTGCTGGTTGTCGTTTGCTGCTGGTTGCACTAGTTGACCACAGTTCTACGCAGAGAACCAATGGATTTACAGCGAGTGGCGTTAACCTAACGAGCGCGCCTTTGGCTAAGAAGCCACCTGGAAAGTTGGCGAAGCTAAATCTGGAACCCAAGTGTTCTGATTATCATTAAGCATGGTGGGATTAAGTCATCATTGGACTTGTGATAGCTGCTATAGAGGGAGCTTAAATAAAGGTATGCAGAGAGGATTCTTACCTTCAGGATGCGGCTCTGAGTGTAAACATACGGGACTCCAAACATGATGACCGCTCGGCCGAAGTGGTGCACTGGATGAAGAAAATAAACAGCCCATTATTCCTCCTTTGTTTCCACATCTCCTTAGCAGGGTTTCCATTAATCAGAGACATTCACCAAAATCGATCCCTTCTGACACCTTTCCTCTGGCCACAGAAAGGAGGATGGCTCCTCTGCCGTTCTCACACGCCTGAAGAAACAAACAAAAAGGAAACAGTATTTTCACTAATATTGAAATCTCATTTTTAAAAACAGCCATAAAATAAATAAAACGGTTCCTAGAAGTTCTCCGACCTCCTGGTACTTCTCCAGAGCCATGCTGGTCTCTGCTGCATCTTGTGTTTCGATGAAGATCAGCTTGTTCCTCTGGATGTTCTCCAGGATTCCCTGCAAACAGGAAACAGAAGAACGTTTCATTTTAAAGTCAGCTGCGGCAGTAAAACTGTTTTTGGCAAAACGAACACGTCTCCACACCCACCTGCTCATACCAAGCTGCCACTATGTTCTCCATGTAGACGTAGCTGGTGAAAAACGCCACGATCCCGTCCGGAACGATGGCAGACATTTCCAGGAGAAGGTTACCGTAGTTACGGATCACAGCTGGAAGGCAACAAAGACTGAGTTTTAGATGATGGGAGCTAGAAACAAAGTCAAACCATTTTCTAAAACATTTAAGTTTACCGAAATCCTCCCTGGTCTCAAACTTTGAGCTCAGAGCCACCTGGTCGTTCCCCCTGCCGACAATCTGTGAATGAACAGATGCTTTTAATTATAAAACAAGAGATAAAACAGAGACTGAGACTAAAGTGAAGAGTGCTGCTGTGGAGGGGGGGGGGGGGGGGGGGGGGGGGGCAGGTACAAACCAGAGGGCAGAGGCAGGTCCGTGCCAGCGTCATGGTGAAAGATGCCATGGTAACGGGCCGAAAGTCGAGGATGCGGGGGTAGATGTCCAACGGAGAGAGGGTCTGATATGAAAATAAAAGCAACACGCTGTAATCGTTTGCATATCGAGCAGAAATTTTATTTGAGGTTAATGTTTCTTTACAGCAGGAAAAAAAAATTAGAAAAAGAATACTGCAGGATCAGCTGCTATGAAGAACACAGGGAAGAGGGAAGGAGTAGCAACACTTCTGTTGTTTTTATTTTTTCTGTTAAATGTGAGCTCCATATTTATTTGTATTTGTATTTTGATTAATTTTAACTTAATTTAACTTAATACTTTTTTGCCTTGTATGCTGCTGGTAACCTTAATTTCTGGAGGGAGTCTTCCCAAGGGATCAATAAAGTTCTGTCTAGGTCCAAGTCTAAGTCTAAGTTCCTGCTGATGCAGTTTTAACCTCGGAGGGATCAAATCTGGATCTCCCTACAAACATTTGGACTTAAACGATTAAACCCTTAAGTTTTAAGCTGATGTTGGGAATCTTGCTTTCTTTAAACTGACTAATATTTGGTTTCTTCCATAGAATTATTACATTTTTTCCTGTATTGTTGCTTCTCGCCTCTTTTAAACTAAGCAGACATTTTTAGATGGATTTCTATTTTCTTGGGTTCTGCTGATCATTTAGAGCTAAGAGTCAAACACTAACCCATCCCTTTATCAAGACATCAATTCTTGGCTTGTTGCCCTGATAATATTTTTTTCCTATGTTCCATAAAGCTGCCAGCTGCATTATTTGATCAAAGGACATCATTACTCTCTGGGAAGGACAACCTTCTTTTACAGTTTACTGAATTCTGTTGATTCTTTTAAAAAGCAACTGAAGACGCTGCTATTCTAGCAGGCTTTTAATTAGACGTGTGGTTTTTATGGTTTTGTATGTTTCCATTTGTTTTTAAAATGTTGATATACATTGTATCCTACATTGTTTTATTGTATTACATTTTTACTGTGAAGCACTTTGTGGTTTTTATCTGTGAAAAGGGCTATACAAATAAATTTTACTTACTCTGCAACTTCAGTCTAGAATCAATTCATAACGGGAATAAAAACCTGACTTAATTCCTTTGGCTTTTATCCTTAATTTAATCCTTAAATATTTATTTGTATTCTAAAAAGCACCAGCACTGTTATGTATGTAACCTTTGACTACTACTCTCTTTAAAATGAGGATTTATATTTATTTATTTTATCATGAGATCCATGTTGTACATATTTGGGGAAAAAAGGGACTTAAGTCTTTATTTATTAAAAGGAGCAAAGAGTGAGCCGTACCCCTGATGTGATGATGACCGACTGAAACCTCTGAAAGACGGGTTTGATGGCTATAGACGGGTCCATGCAGCTGAAGAGGAAAACAGAGAGAAAACAGTTCAGCCACATCATCAGGTTTGGTCACAGGCTAAAAAGTGCAGATAAGTTTAAATTCAGGTTTAAATGACAGAAAGGTTTCACACATCATCACCCCTCCACCTCTGTGCTTTTCTGTTATTTCAAGTGTTTGTGTTCAGGACGTTGTTTATTTTATCCGTCAGGAGTTTGAGTGTTTTTGGCTCAACATACCTTCATGGTCCTCACAAAGGTTTTACCCCTGCTTCAACTCCGTGCTCCTATATAATTTTAACCGTATCAGTTTGCAGGACTGGAGGGCGGCCTAAATGGCCCAACATGTGGATTACAACTAGTCTGATGAACCAGACTAAATGTGAGATTAAATGTGCAATTTAGTCTGGCCCCGATGAATGAGACATCGGAAGATTGTTAATGAGAACAATCCATTGTCTTTCAAACCATGTCTGTGCCTATTGGCCAACGCTCTGACCAATGAGCGCCGCCTGACTGTGACGTAGGAAGCGTGACAGAAAGCTGGTGGGGGGTGTAAACAGCCAGTCGGTAAAACGGAGAATACGTCCTTCTTAAAAATGAATGAGCGTAGAGCCTCTTCCTGCTCATGTTTCAACGAAACACCAAGTCTAAGCCTTCCAGAACTGATTCCAAAGCTGAGTCAAACGAGAACTCTTCAATAGTTGTTGCCATTGTCCTTTCTCCAGCGTCGTGCAGCTTTGTCGTCCCGCCCTCAAAACCCCGCCTGCTTTGGATCCAAAAATTTAAAACACATCTCTGCGTTGTGATTGGCCCGCCGGTTCTAGGGCCTGGGGCATTGATCGAGGTTAGACCACTCGCAGGCACAAATGATTCTGGCCGCTGGGGCTAGTTTACTAGGCTAGGTTACAACATGAAGAGATCCGGACATCAGAATCTATCTGGAATAAGTCTAAAATGTTATTTTCTTACAGTGCTGATTCCAAAATGGCCGCCCGCTTCCTTTCAATAAGTTCTGACCACCTACTGTCTCTAAAGACCCAATCACACTAATGAGACACTGCAAACAATATTCAGCATTAAATATAGTGTTACTTTTATCACATTTCAAACCTGCAGCAGGAAAAAAACATCTATAGAGTGATTTCACTCATGCCATCTGTGCCCTGTTACATGAAAAACAAACATAAAAATAATTCAAATCAATTCAATTTATTTCTATAGTGCCAATTTACAACATGTCATCTCAAGGCACTTTACAGTTCACCAGATCATCCAGTCAAACTGATTCAAAGTTTTCTATCCAAGGAAAACCAGTTGATTGCATCGACTCATTGACTCAAATGCAATATCTCACATCAAGCATGCTTGTAGCGACAGTGGAGAGGAAAAACCTCCTTTGAACAGGAAGAAACCTCCAGCAGAAATATAATAATACAGAAAATATATTTAAAAAAAATTTCTCCAACTTTAGTGACTATAAACTACTGAGAGAATAGGTCTTACTGCTCAGGTTAAATATTCAGACACTTTATCCTGTATTCAAATTGGTTCTACAGCAGCATTCTATTTAACTTTAGGCTGCATATCGCAGCCATTTTTAGAAATTTTGGGGGAAATATTAACAGGATGTTTAGTACTGATGTTAACCCTGTTAAATTCACACCTGTGGATTCCAGAGCTGCAAAACTCCAACAGTTTATGTAGTGTGTTTTATTAACAGAACCTCGCTTTAGCTTTCAGTCTTAAAAGGAATAAAAGTAGCAACGTTGGTTCTTTTTAATGATCAGCAGTTTTATACCAGAGAATAAATCTGTGCCAGTTTGTTTTGTGCATTGGAGACTCGGTTTAGCATGTTTTAACCTGCAGATGGGGATTTTCTTTATATTAGCCTTCAAGGCACCAATAGATGATTTTTTTCTAAACCCAAACATACATTTTATTCTTACTCACCTAAAGTGCAGCACAGGGTTGGCGATGGTTGGGGTTCTGTCCTCAAAAGGCTCAATGATGATAGTAAAACCTTTTCAAAGACGAAAAGGTGTTTAAACAGAGACTTTTCAAACTCAACCTCACCTCCATAGATCATCTGATTCATTCAAGATGAGGTTTAACAAAGGAGTAAGATCTGGGCTGGAGTGTTTTGGTACCTTGGCTGTAGGTGCTGACAAGAGTCGCAAAGTTAGAGATGAGCGTAACGGCGGAGAAGTCTGCGATGTCTGCGATCTCCAGAGTCCGCAGCAGGGACTGCAGCCTCTCTGCACAGAACCTGGAGGAACAGTCAGCATCAAAAACCATTAAAGTAAAGAGCGACAGCAAACACAGCAAGAAAAAAAGGTTAATTATTCAAGAGGAGGCTGCTTAGTTTGGACGTGCAGCTGCACAGGAGTCACTGGTTCAGGAATTTCACAGAGCTGGACCAGACGTGGGTGAAGCAGCGCAGTGCTGTAGTCAACAATACCTCAATAGATCTTTACTAAAGCCCCCGTCACACCATGACGATTTATACCAGCGTATGCCTGACGTACGAAAACTCTGGCAAAAACGCTGGCATACGTTGGATAAATTATGGGTACATTTTGTATAAGTTATGAGCACACTGAAACAAACAGAAACACGTCGACATACGGTGATTACATATGCCAGCCTGTGCTCACATGTGAGCCATAAGTTACAGGTAAGTTTAAGTTATTTGATCGTTGACATACGTTAAGTGTAAGTTACTCATAAGTCGTGCCATTTAGCTTATCCAAAACCTATGAGTAACGTGTGCATAACTTGTGCGTAACTTATCAAGAACTTATCTCCAACGTATATCAACGCATTTGACGCGTTCCAGCTACTGTATAATGGCATATTGGCAGCATTATGATATAAAACCATCAGTACTCCTCCAGACTTTATCCCCATCATAGGCTGAGTGAGAAGGTGAGTGTGATGATCCTCCCTGCGTTCACGCCCACGACCAACAACCTTCCTTGCAGACATGAAGCCGAATCAGCAAACCTTCTTTCTTTTTCTTTATTCTTTTTTTTATGGCAGGTGGCAAACAGCAGCTAGGTTAATACCGCGATCAAATAAATCTTTTTATGCAAGCCGGGCGCCTCGCTGTCCCCCTCAGGACATTGGCTTGTGACACTTCATGGCATTACACTGCCGTGCGTTATGCATAACTTAGGCTGTCGTTGGTTCTGGACTCGTTATGAATACTCTATGTATTTCAAATCAATTCAGTTTATTTCTATAGCGCCAATTCACAACATATTTCATCTCAAGGCACTCTACAGTTCACCAGATCATACAATCAAATTGATTCATTTTCTAAGGAAAACCAGTTGATTGCACCGATTCATTGAATCAAAGGTAATCCCTCACACTAAAGGCTGCTTTATACTTTGAAACCAGGTCATCTGTGTGTGTCGCAGTGAATGCAGGGACGCCCCCACCCCTCCCACAGACACTCTAGTGCACCTCTCTAAAATTGTAGGTGACCACAGAAAGTGCCGAAGACAGGAGGCCTCTGATTGGTCAAATCTGCATCCGCTCTATGCGTATTTCCTGTTTGGTACCTTACCTGCTTGTTTTGTTTGTATGACCGCCATTGTGGAAAACAACTTATGAAGTTAGACCAGCGAGAAGAGCGAGGTGCGTGAGAACGCTGGGACCCTTTTTACATTACTCTTTTTCCCCCCTCATGTCCCTCTATTGTCACACAAACTCGCCCACACTTCCTCACCTCATCCATATCTAGACCTACAGCTAGTTCAAGATCCTCCCTCTTGTGTTGTGGCGTGGAATAACATAGCGCAGACCACGCTTTAATAATGGGCATAAATCTAAGTATCTGCAACAAGTTCACTGCGACACACTGCTGCAGGAGGATAACCAGCCCTTAAGCATGCTTGTAGCAACAGTGGAGAGGAAAAACTCCCTTTTAACAGGAAGAAACCTCCAGCAGAACCAGGCTCAGTGTGAGCGGCCATCTGCCAAGGCCGACTGTGGTTCAAGGAGACAGAGGGAGAGATGCAAAAGGGAACTGTTTACGTCCAAACTTGAAAAAAAATACAGACAAAGTTCAGCGTATGCCAGTGTTTTAGAAGATTCTGGGACGTCAGGCAAACGCTGGATAAATCGGCAAGGTGTGACAGGGCCATAAAGTACAAGTACAAAGTCGTCACCCAGGCAAGTACTTCAGCTGGAGTAATAAAGCTCTCAGTGCTTTAGACAAACCATTTCATCTGATTTAATTTGTGAAAATGATCCAAATATACAGATAGAACATAGACTTGAGATCAGGTTCTGGTACTTAGGATTAAGAGAGAGCAGATAAAAAAATAGCAGCCACTTTTTTAAAGAAGAGGTCTTAATATGAGAAGCAGGGCTGACCTGAGAGGCTTGCGGTCGATACAGACTTTGTCGAAGATGTCCTTTAAAAACTGCGGCGCGCTCTCCTGGACCACGTGCTGCACCCGCAGACGGGCCTTCAGATACTCTAGGAACCGCCTCAGGAATCCAACAAAGTGCTCGGCTGTACGGATTGAACCAGGGACCGCCTCTGAAAGGTAGAGAAGACCAGGACAAGAATTAGAATCAACATCCTTAATATCTAGCTTTGTGTTTGCAGATCACTTAAGTATGAAAACTATGAACACATTGGGGAGACAGTGACGTCGGATTTAGGAGTTTGCCCTGCATCAGCTTTCGGTTGTCGGCTTTCAGTCTTGTCAAGTCATTGGGTAAGACATTTAACCCGCATTTTTTTTAATGGCATTTTATAAGATTGATGGTTAAAAACTATAAGACTAAAAGACTATAGGAGACACAAAAAAACAACAACCTGAACACAAGATACTGGGAATAAAACATTTGTAAATATCTGAAAAACATAGTTGGTTTATAGATCAATCTTATAAGCTTTATTGTGCATTTTTTCAGTTTACACTCCAGCGACTAGTTCATACCAGTAGGTGGCAGAGTTGGACTGTTAAGAGGGATTTTTTTTCTCAAATTAAAATTTGGGATTCTTGAATCTATAAGGATTGTAAAAAAGAAAAAGATTATTCCTCATAAATTACCAACAATAAATAAATAATTGTTATATGGACTCTAAAACAAAACATCCAACTAAGAGCAGTAATTAAACCAAAAGGGAACGATACAGATTTTACATTTAAGAACCCTTTTCTCCAGATCTGCTCCATCCAGAAACCTCATCAGTGGAATAATTTTAGCAGGTTATGTTATTTAGACATTCTCCTATTAACTCTGATGAGTAATCTCTTAATCCAAATATAGCAAGCAAATTAATTGATTAGTAAAAATAAATATATTGTCTAATGTCCTGCATAACAGAATACATACTTGGATTTAGTTTGTTTTTGCCATTTTAAATTATTTTCAAATATGCAACATGTTTCCTTTCATTTTTAAAATGCTTGTTTATTGAGGCATGTTATCTATTTATAGCTTCTCTTTCTAAATCTGAATCTCCATTTCTGAATGCAACCGATTTGCAAAAGAAAGTTGCAGCTAAAGAAGCATCTTTCTGTCCCTACATGAGGAGAGCAGAAGGTCTATTTGAGTTATTAGTAGGAAAGACATCTGCATTTATAAAAGCACCGCTAAAAAGAAGAGAGAAAACATAAAACTGAAAGACAGTTGCACGTTTGAAGCACCTTGCAGGATCTCGTCGGGTAAAACTGGGTTTGCCAGATAGATGTCGGTCTCCCTGGCAACATTGGCTTCCTTCAGACCCTCCACCAATCGTCTGTACTCCTCCCTCAGCTTGGCAGCATCTGTCTCCTTAATCCTGCAGTGACAGAGAAAGCTCCAGTTAGGTCTGCAGATTTGCAGATACACAAAGGGGAACCGAAGTCAAACTGTTGAGCAACCGTCTCCTGCCAAAATACCAGTAGGATATTTTTATTTTGTTACAGCAGTTTCCTCACTAACTTTATTACTTTCTTTTAGTTCTCACTAACTTTATTTTTCTGTTTTGAATCAGTGGTTTCAGCTGCATGAATCAGCTGCAACCTGGGTGACACTATGGGAGACTGAGATAGAGGATTATTGAATGCAATGCTTTCATCAATTTCAATACATTCTGCAGAATTTTAGTCAACATACGGATTAAATGTTGGACTAATGAACTCTTGATTTGAACTGGTTGCAGCTGTTGACACTGAACAACAGTTTAGCTCTCTACCTTTGACCACACATATTTAAATATTTTTTTCATGTCATCTCCTGAAAGCTGAGGGATGCATCTCATTATTGACCTCAAAAGAAATCAACTTTCATATTTCCTTTCATTTCTGCCTGTTATTCTTCTTATATTTTTGTAGATTTTGTGTAAAGGATGCACTAAGCCTTCGCCCAGAGGCTGGAGTCTATTTCTCCTCCACCAGTGAGTCAAACATGCATTGCAATGGATAACTCCTATTTAATCAGACATCAGGCAAATGTTGGGGATCCAAGATATGATGCAAAAACAGGGACGAACCTGTGAAACCTTCATTTTCTGTTGGATTAAGAACAAATATCACTAACTGAAAACTAGTGTTAATTTCGTTAACGAAAAATAAACGAAAATATTTTCGTCAACGCACATTTTTCACCGAACGAAAACTAGACGAGACGAGACGAAAATCCCCACTTATAAACAATAACTGTGACTAAATCATACATAATTTTCGTGGACTAATAAAGACGAGACGAAAATGCAGTTCGGTAAATAAAGACTGGACTAAAATCTATGGACATTTTAGTTCACGAACAAAGACGAGACGAAAATTATATATTATTATTTTATGGTTTTTTCAAATCCTGTCTACTCCTCCGCCTCCTCCTCGTCAGCTCCACACACCCACTTTCAAACCTGGAGCGGGCGGCACAGAGTAGCCTACTCTGGGGCTCGGGAGAAAGAGGAGACGTGATATATGGACACATTTTCACTTCATTTAAGTGGAGAACAAAACCAAATGCTTGATTTTGCTGGAAAAAACACAACAAACCTGAAGAGACACGTCGCAGTTCACCACAAAGACATTACGGTAAGTTAACAGAAAGATTGGTGGTGGTTGTTTATAATGTAACATTAAATCAACGGCTATAATGTCCCAATGATAAACTAACTGATGTTGGCTAACTTTCATAGCATTTAGTATCCAGGCTGGCTACGTTACGTCAGCTTGTTAGCACGTAGCGACCGTAGCCACTTGTTGATAGAATTGTATGTGAAGTTAAATGCAAACTTAGATATGTTATACTGGCAGGGCAACTATAGTTTCAGTTAAATTGCAAGTTTGATTAAAGCAGACAGACGTTTTAGGTAATCTAGGAGCTGCAAGTGAACTATAGTTAAAACAAAACACCTTGGCAGCTACACGTGTATGCTAAATGTTAAAACGAACTGAAACTACCGTAAATTCTCTAATATTGGCCTGTATTCCAATAGCGGCCGGGACTCTAACATTGGCCGGTCTCGCTGTCAGAGGAGGTAAATAATGGCCGGTCTCTAATACAGGCCGGGGCTATAAACGTTTTTTCTGGGCATACCTCAACATTATACTTGTGGTAGTAACATACAAGTACCACAGCCCTGCGCAGCTGGACGACAGGCCCTGACTGCTGCCCGTCTGCGCGAGGAAGAGAACAGACACGCAGCAGAACAGGAGGAGCGCGAGTGATGAGGAGATTAAAGGGAGAGATGAAGAGGAGGGGAAAAACTGAGGAGGAGAATTAAACAGAATTGGAGGATTTTTTTTTTTTTTTTTTTTTTTTACTTCAAACCAAGCGAGACATGGTAACTATACTTTTTCAATAAATGAACCTAGTGTTTTATAGGTTCAAATAGACACAAAATCTAATTTTTATTCATTCCACTGGTAGTCTGTTTTGCTCAAATAGCAATAGAGGCCTGTCTCTAATTCTGGCCTCTATCCAATAAAGGCCTGGACCGCGATGCACTCGAGTGAAATAAAGGCCCGGGCCTATATTAGAGAATTTACGGTATTTATCAGGATAAGACAAAATAGAAATAATATGTCACACATAATTCAGAGCAACTTTAACCTAGATTTTCATATACAAAATAGTCATTGCTAGGGGAAACCACTGCAGGGATGTCTTTATTTGGTGACATAAAATGCTGCTCTGTTTATCTGCATATTACTATTACAAGGACATTTGATTTGAATCGGCATCAATATTAATACAACCAAAATGCTTGCACACATAAAAATGTCTGCAATTTATTCCTGCATAAAATGATAGTTAGGTTGTTTGTATGAGTTTGAAATGGATGGTCAAATTTAGTTTTTACAGAGACTTAGTGTTTGTTGAGGAAAAAAAGAGACCTACAGGTGCTGGTCATAAAATTAGAATATCATGAAAAAGTAGATTGATTTCAGTAATTCCATTTAAAAAGTGAAACTTGTATATTATATTCATACATTACATACAAACTCATATATTTCAGATGTTTATTTTGTTTAATTTTGATGATTACAAATGACAACAAATGAAAATCTCAAATTCATCATATCAGAAAATTAGAATATTGTGAAAAGGTTCAAAATTGATGGCCCCTGGTGCCACACTCTAATCAGCTAATTAACTCAAACCACCTGCAAAAGCCTTTAAATGGTCTTTCAGTCTAGTTCTATAGGCTTCACAATCATGGGGAAGACTGCTGACTTGACAGTTGTCCAAAAGACGACCATCGACACCTTGCACAAGGAGGGCAAGACACAAAAGGTCATCGCTGAAGAGGCTGGCTGTTCACAGAGCTCAGTGTCCAAGCACATTAATAGAGAGGCGAAGGGAAGGAAAAGATGTGGTCGAAAAAAGTGTACAAGCAAGAGAGATAACCGCACCCTGGAGAGGATTGTGAAACAAAACCCATTCAAAAATGTGGGGGAGATTCACAAAGAGTGGACTGCAGCTGGAGTGAGTGCTTCAAGAACCACCACACACAGACGTATGAAAGACATGGGTTTCTGCTGTCGCATTCCTTGTGTCAAGCCACTCTTGAACCACAGACAGCGTCAGAAGCGTCTTGCCTGGGCTAAAGAGAAACAGGACTGGACTGCTGGTGAGTGGTCCAAAGTCATGTTCTCTGATGAAAGTAAATTTTGCATTTCCTTTGGAAATCAAGGTCCCAGAGTCTGGAGGAAAAGAAGAGAGGCACTTCATCCACGTTGCTTGAAGTCCAGTGTAAAGTTTCCACAGTCAGTGATGGTTTGGGGTGCCATGTCATCTGCTGGTGTTGGTCCATTGTGTTTTCTGAGGTCCAGGGTCAACGCAGCCACATACCAGGAAGTTTTAGAGCACTTCATGCTTCCTGCAGCTGACCAACTTTTTGGAGATGCAGATTTCATTTTCCAACAGGACTTGGCACCTGCACACAGTGCCAAAGCTACCAGTACCTGGTTGAAGGACCATGGTATCCCTGTTCTTAATTGGCCAGCAAACTCTCCTGACCTTAACCCCATAGAAAATCTATGGGGTATTGTGAAGAAGAAGATGCAATACACCAGACCCAACAATTCAGAAGAGCTAAAAGCCACTATTAGAGCAACCTGGGCTATCATAACACCTGAGCAGTGCCACAGACTGATCGACTCCATGCCACGCCGCATTGCTGCAGTAATACAGGCCAAAGGAGGCCCAACTAAATACTGAGTGCTGTACATGCTCATACTTTTCATGTTCATACTTTTCAGTTGGCCAACATTTCTATAAATCCTTTGTTTTTATTGGTCTTCAGTAATATTCTAATTTTCTGATATGATGAATTTGAGATTTTCATTTGTTGTCATTTGTAATCATCAAAATTAAACAAAATAAACATCTGAAATATATGAGTTTGTATGTAATGTATGAATATAATATACAAGTTTCACTTTTTAAATGGAATTACTGAAATCAATCTATTTTTTCATGATATTCTAATTTTATGACCAGCACCTGTACAGTATATGCTACTTATACACTTGGAATTCCTGTTATGCTGTGCATCTATCCTGACATTGTATTAATTTCTGTTACAGATTAAAGATACACCACCACCAACAACAACAACCTACCAGCCACCCAGAAACAATGACAGGCCAGCTAAAGCTGGAAGGAAAGCACTTTTGTTCTATCAGTTGGAGTTTTTTTTTTTTTTTTTTTTAAACAACATAGACCTCAAATCTATTTATTTTATTATTCTATGTGAACTAGCTTTAAACAGCCAGCACTTGTGTAAAGTTCATAAGACACTTTATTTTATTTATTTGTTTCCTTTGCCAGGTGTGTTTTATTTGTTTTAATGCAAGCATTTGTGTTTGTGTCTTTGAACCTTAACAATGTTCAAAATAAATATGCAAATATTGTCAGAACATCTTCCATGTCTACATGTGTTCCTTAAAATTGTGTTTTTTATCAAAAAGATGAGAGAAAATGCTGAAATAATTTTAGGAAATCTTAAACGTTATCTGCTGACAAAAAAGTAAAAGGTTAAAATTATGTCCTGACTAAAACTAGACTGAAATGTTGACGGTTTTTGTTGACTAAAACTAAACTAATAAAATTATGTTTTCTTGGACTAAAATAAAGACTAAAATGCTTGACTTATAGTCGACTAAAACTAGACTAAATAAAAATGCGATGATGTCGACTAAATGTGATAAAAACTAACAAACGATGCTGAAACTGGACTAAGACTAAAACTAAATTTAAAAATGGCTGCTAAAATTAACACTACTGAAAACTTGATAAACAATCTTTGATTTAGTCCATGAAATAGAAATAATGAGCTTTAAGACCTTGGTAACGGTACCAGCCTTAAAAAGCCTGATTGCTGGATCTCTAATGACGTTATTTTAATAATTATAATAAACTCTAACATTAAATGATGCTTTCTGTTTTTAAAGTCATCAAGTTACCTTGTTTAATAAGAATCTGAGCTACAATTATTCAGAGAGGAAGAGGGCCTCTTGCTTACTTGTGTATGGTGTTTTGGAGCGTGTCCACGTTGTTCTGGCAGCGGTCCAGCGTTCGCCGAGTTATGTTGACGCTCATGGAGTCGATGCACACGTTGTCTGTGGAACAGGAAGTGGAAATAGTGTGCATTTACTGCTCAGTTCTATTTATTTATTCTCTTAACTTTATCTTCTAGCTCCTCACCGATATTATGAGCCTCATCAAAAACCACCACTGATTTCTTGGCCAGCTCCTTGGACACTAGGTCAGCTATCTTAGGGTCCAGCAGGTAGTGGTAGCTGTATACCACAATGTTGGCGTGAAGAATCTGAAAACAGATGAAGCATTGCCAAAAATTAAATAAATATTTCTATTTTTTATCTTACTTGTTACTAGATAAATACAACTGAGACCGTTCTTAATTCGGTACAGAGTAATCACACATCATTCTTCTTTAATGCTTTTTACAGACCAGAACTGACACAAGTTGGTTTTTTGGTGCGTTTTCCCTCATAGGTTTAAATTTATTCATACAGGCTCAAAACCTTCAAAGAATAACAGCCTCAGAGAAAACTGTTATGATGAATTAAAATTTAATGTTCATAGAGCTGGGAAATAAATCAGCATCAGTTTATAGCATGACAGACAACTGACCCACATCGATACAAAAAAATATGAAACCCTATTAAGTTATTTATTAATTCTACTGAATTCCGATCCAGAACCAAATGTTGTTCAATTATACATTTAGCCTCTCAACCTCTCACAGCCAAACTCAGGTAAGTTGGCATCTTTATGTAGAGTCACATTTTAAAACTGGGCTTTGTTCTACCTGGTCTTTTTTTAAAAATAGGTAAATATGTATATATTAATCAATTATTATTGAAACTGATATGAAAGGCTTCTATTGTGATATATTTTTAAAGCTATATTGTAACTCTAAAGTCCCTTCTAAGCAATAGTTTAACGAACAATGTTGTAGAAATCTACATATTAAAATTCCTTGTGATTCTAAATAATATAAAACCTAAATTCAAACCAAATTTATTTGAACAAATTAACAAACTTTATACATGGATAGAAGGAATGTAAAGCTCCCATTTTACCTTTAAACAATATAATTATTGATTTGTCTGGATGACATGATGTTTACTGATATCCTAAGTTTGTCCCAATAAGCTATCAATATGATGGTATTCTGTATACCAATGGAACACAGTTGCTATAATGTTTACATGCCCTCAAAGCACGGCCACAGCCTCAACTTATGAATCGCTAAATGCAGGCAAATATCTGCCAATAAAAATACTAAATTTCCTTCTTTCATCTGCGCAATATTGCAAAAATTAGAAATCTCCTGTCCAGGGGTGATGCTGAGAAAGTAGTCCATGCATTTGTTACTTCAAGGCTGGACTATTGTAATTCTTTACTATCAGGAAGTCCACAAACTGTAGTTAAAAGCCTTCAGCTGATCCAAAATGCTGCAGCCAGAGTTCTGATGAAAATTTAAAAGAGAGATCACATCTCTCCTATCCTGGCTTCTCTTCGTTGGCTTCCTGTTAAATCCAGAATAGAACTTAAAATCCTCCTTCTCACATATAAAGCCCTAAATGGTCAAGCTCCATCTGATATCAGAGATCTGATTGTTCCTTATGTTCCTAACAGAGCACTTTGTTCTCAATCTGCAGGTTTACTAGTGGTTCCTAGAATTTCTAAAAATAGAATGGGAGGCAGATCTTTTAGTTCTATTTCATCCCTACTGACCGCCAGAGGCGGTGCTTCAAGCACTGAATGATCATTCTTGCGCATGCGCAGGTCGAGTATTAATGACAACAAAGTCAGCTGTGACCTGCCGGGGACCCACGTGACTCTATATAGTCACGTGGCACCCGGCAATCAATCCCTTTTGTTCTTCTCGCGCGCAGGTGTGTTGAGTACCGGAGTGTGGTCGTGTGAAGCTGGTTGCTTCTGTGTATACCACTAGTTTCCTGGCTGCTTGTTGCTGGTAGCCCCGTGACCGGGTTTGGTCGGAGCTGCGGGTAAGTCTCGCCCTCCAGGGGCTGCACAAGCTGCTTTCACCTTACCAGATCTGCAGTGACTGGTAAGTTTTCGTTCTTTTCTCAGCAGTAGTTTACTGTTCGCTTTGATTTGCCACGTTAATTTTGTGGCTCTTTTGACTCACGGTAGCGTTTCTGCTCGCGCTGAGTTGTTTTCAGTTTGTTTGCCTAAGCCCACCAGTAGCGTTTCTGCTCGCGTTGGGTTCTTCTATAGTTTGTTTATCTACACTCACCAGTGGCGTTTCTGCTCGCGCTGAGTTGTTTTCAGTTTGTTTGCCTAAGCCCACCAGTAGCGTTTCTGCCCGCGTTGGGTTCTTCTATAGTTTGTTTATCTACACTCACCAGTGGCGTTTCTGCTCGCGCTGAGTTGTTTTCAGTTTGTTTGCCTAAGCCCACCAGTAGCGTTTCTGCTCGCGTTGGGTTCTTCTATAGTTTGTTTGCCTAAACTCACCAGTGGCGTCTCTGCTCGTGCTGAGTTCATCTTTAGTTAATAATCGATTTGCTAGTGGCGTTTCTGCTCACGCCGAGTTTGGAATCTCTGCGGGGGTTTTCCTACAACGAGTCGCCAGTAGCGTTTCCTGCTCGTGTTGACTTGTCCTTGGTAGCAGGCTGATCACGCCTTTCAGCAGTATGATGCTGGATAATTTATGTTGCTCGACCTGTCTGGCTCCACTTCAGCCGGATGACGGGCATGACTTGTGTCCCTCCTGCCTCGGTGTGGAACATCTCCGGGAGGCGCTGTCAGATGACGCTTGCCCCAACTGTCGCGTCATGCCCCGGTCGGTCAGACTGGATCGGTTGGCTGCACTGGAGCAGCCTACCGACTGGGCGAGCGCTTCGCCGCGTGCTCGTTTGCCGATGGAGAAAGCGGTGTGCAAACGATCTACTGTGGCTGCACCTTCGGTACCGACGAAGCGTGCTAGACGGACCGATGCAGGGAGGTTGTCCACCAGAGTGGATCATCTCACTACTGAGCTGGCCCAAATGAAAGCCCTCCTCCAGTCCTTTCAGACTGCTGGTGATCGCGGCACGGCTCTCCCTACCGAGCAGGATGAAACGTCAGTCAGTGACGACGATGCTGTTTCTGTGGCGGCCTCTGGCACCCATTTCTGTGAGGACCTTCCGGAGCTGGGCTCCGGGGCCTCTGGGTCGGACTCCATTGCCTCCCAGGAGGATACGGGGGAGTCTGTGACATCCGCTATTCGAACGGCTCTTGCCCGTTTACAGATTAGTGTTCCTCAGGCCCAGCCTGCGGCTTCCAGCGCCTTCTTTAGGCGCAGTAGGTCAGAGACTGCCTTTGTGGTTCCTCCCTCGGCGGAGTATGTGCGGGAACTGCATGCTTGCTGGTCAGACACCAAGGCGTTTTCACGTCTGACGACGGATGGCAGGGTCCTGGCAGCTATGCAGGAGGCACCCAAGGTTGGCTTGGGGCAGATGCCAGCGGTGGAACCGGGCATTGCCTCTCTTATAATCCCGCCTGATGAGGCCTTGCGGCCCAATGCCCGTTGTCCGCGTCCTCAGTGCCGTATTACCGACGACCTTCTCTGTAAGGCCTATGACTCTGGGGCCCGCATGGGCCGGATTGGGAACTCTCTCTCCCATCTTATGCTGACCCTGTCTTCCTCCTTGGAATCTGTTCCGCTGGATCATGCCACGCAAGGCCTGGTTGATGCATCTCTGCAGGCCTTTGCTCTTATGACGAGGGAACTTGGACGCACACTCTCCACACTGGTTCATGCTCGCCGCCAGGTCTGGTTGGCGCAGTCACCACTAACTGAGCCTTGTAGGAGGACCCTCCGGGCCCTGCCTGTGGTCCCGGGGGAGCTTTTTGGTTCAGCGGCACTGGACGCCTTGGACCGTACGGCTCAGGCCTCTAGAACGAGGCAACAGCTGGCAGGGCTTCACAGACGTGATCGCCAGCCAGTAAGCACCTGGGAAGCTGCGGGTCCTTCACGGAGGTCCTTAGTGCCTTCTCCTTCTCCCACTGAGCCCCAGGGTCTGTTACCAGGTCAGAGATCGGTCCGGGGACCTGCTCTAGATCGGAGGAACAGAGCTCGAGACCAGGCTGGGACGAGGTCCTTTCATCCCTTTCGAGCCGCGCAGTCTGGCCGGCGTCCTCCCGGGCCTTCGAAGGGCCGGGGGACCCGCAGATGATGCCTTAGGGCCGGCGGTCGGTTATTTTTCCCCGGGACAGCTCAGCTTCTGGGCTGCCCACACCCCGGACTTGTGGGTGTTGTCCACCCTGTCCCGGGGGTACCGTCTTCAATTCCGCCGCCGGCCACCTATCCCTGGCCGGGTCAGGATGACTGTGATCCACGACCCGGTGAAGGCACAGGCACTGAACCAAGAAATCTGCACCTTGCTGGCCAAGGGTGCTATAGTGCCTGTGGACCCCCTGCTGGATCCAGGGGGCTTTTATTCCACGTATTTTCTGGTTCCGAAGAAGACCGGGGGCCTGCGTCCAGTCTTGGACCTCAGAGGCCTGAATGTGTACTTGAAGGCCATGCCCTTTCATATGCTGACCACCAAGGAAGTGTTGCAGGCGATTTCCCCGGGCGATTGGTTCACTTCCATAGATCTCAGGGATGCTTATTTTCACGTTCCGATCGCTCCGCCCCATTGGCGGTTTCTTCGTTTTGCTTTTCAAGGGAGGCATTTCCAGTTCAGGGTCCTCCCGTTCGGACTTTCACTGTCCCCCAGGGTGTTCACCCGATGTGTTGCAGCGGCCCTCTCTCCTCTGCAGGCACAGGGATTGAGGATCCTCCCATATCTGGACGACTGGCTCATTTGTGCCGCGACGTGGGACCAGGCGGTTCGAGATACTCGGTTAGTGCTCCATCATGTGGGATGCTTGGGCTTGCAGGTGAACATGGAGAAAAGCAGTCTGACCCCCTCACAGGAGACTGTCTTCCTGGGCATTGCCATGGATTCCATCTCAATGACTGCTTGCCCGTCACCCCAGCGGGTGGACAGTATATTGAGCGTGCTCCCGGAATTCAGGCGCGGCATGGCGCTGCCTCTTGTGCGGTATCTTCGACTCTTGGGCATGCTTACAGCTGCGTCCGCCGTAGTGCCCTTGGGGCTGCTGTCATTGCGGCCCCTCCAGATGTGGTTGAACAGCTTGAATCTGGATCCCACACGGAACACTCATCGTCTCCGAAGACTTCGGGTGGGGCCTCAGTGTCTTCAGTCTCTGTCCCAATGGAGGGTGAGGTTGTTTATGACCACAGGGGTCCCGCTCGGTTCCCTCCCGTGTCGTCGGGAAGTTGTGTTTACAGATGCATCCTCCACGGGCTGGGGTGCAACCTGGCGGGGTCAAATGGCACAGGGGACATGGTCCCAGCGGCAGGGCAGGGAACACATCAATGTCCTGGAGTTACAGGCTGTGCTTCTGGCTCTTCAGAGCTTTCTTCCAGGCTTGCGGGGGAAGCACGTGCTGGTGAGGTCAGACAACACCACAGTGGTCTTTCACATCAACCACCAGGGGGGCACGAGGTCAAGGAAACTGTTGTGCTTGACTCAACGGCTTCTGACCTGGGCAGCTCCACGCATAGCCAGCCTCAGAGCAGCCTACATCCCAGGGCCGGAGAACGTGCCAGCAGATTTTCTATCCCGTCAGAAGCCGCTTCCAGGGGAGTGGAAGCTTCACCAAGAGGTGGTGGAGTGCATCTGGAAGGTCTTTGGCAGGGCGGACGTGGACCTCTTTGCCTCAAGGGACGCATTTCACTGTCCCCTTTGGTTCTCGTTGGACAACAGCAGCCCTCTGGGCCACGATGCTCTGGCACACGACTGGCCCAGGACCCTCCTTTATGCCTTTCCGCCATTCAGCCTACTTTTTCAGACTCTCCTCAGGGTACGTCAGGAGGGGCACAGGGTCCTGCTGGTGGCCCCCTACTGGCCAGCGAGGACTTGGTTTCCTCTACTGTGCGAGCTCAGCTCCGGCTCGCCAATGCGTCTCCCCTCCAGGAGAGACCTTCTTTCCCAGATGGGGGGTCAGATCTTGCACCCCGAACCGGACCGGCTCCAGCTCTGGATTTGGCCCCTGCAAGGCCGGGGTCCACCTTCTCAAGATACACTGGGTCCATAGGGCATACAATGGCTAATGCATGGGCGCCGTCCACGCGAGCTGTCTATGCTAACAAGTGGACGGTCTTTGCGACCTGGTGCCGTGATAGAGGGCAGGACCCGGTGCAGTGCTCAGTTTCTGACATACTGACCTTCCTGCAGGCATTGCTGGATCAAGGACGGTCCCCATCTACCTTAAAGGTGTATGTGGCTGCCATTTCCTGTTGGCATGTTGGGCTGAATGGTTGTTCTGTGGGCCGAGACAAGGATGTTGTACTGTTTTTAAGAGGTGCTCGGCGTTTGCACCCACCCAACCGCCCTGTGGCACCGGCGTGGGACCTTTCTCTTGTGCTTGAGGCTCTTCGGTCCCTCCCATTTGAGCCCCTGGCGTCGGCGGACCTCAAATGGCTCTCACTGAAGACTGCGTTCCTTTTAGCTATGGTTTCCGCAAAACGTGTAGGGGAGTTACAGGCTCTCTCGATAGCCGAACCCTGCTGCCGGTGGAATCCTGATGGCTCAGGCGTTACACTGTGGGCTGATGTAGCATTTATTCCTAAGGTATCACTGCCAGCAGGCAGCACCCAGCCTCTCCATCTTGCCCGGTTTGACTCCGGAAGTCCCTCTGAACCACTGTGTCCTGTCCGTGCCCTTGAGACATACATCAATGCCACGGCATCCTTCCGAAAGACAAATAGCCTTTTTGTTTGCTACGCTGGCTCACGGAAAGGTCAGGCACTTTCTAAGCAGCGACTTGCACACTGGGTTGTGGATTTGATCTCCAAGGCTTATGCCTTGCAGGACCGGCCACTGCCGGCGGGAGTGAAATGCCACTCTACAAGGGGCATGTCGACATCGTTTGCTGCTATGACTGGGGTGCCATTGGATGTTATATGTCGTGCGGCCTCCTGGAAGTCACCTAGTACCTTTACTCGGTTCTACAGGGTGAATGTGGCTGCGCCCCATCCGCTTTAGGGAATCCTCGAGCAGCATGCCTCTACATCACATTAGGTGGGTGGTGTAGTCGTTGTTCCTTGAATGTTGCTGATTCCTCGTGACCTTGTTGATATGAGTCATCCAGTGCTTGAAGCACCGCCTCTGGCGGTCAGTAGGGATGAAATAGAACGAAAGTTACTACCGTAACTACGGTTCTATGAATCCCGGATGACCGCCAGAGTGCTTGGTCCCTCGGAATCTCTGCTTTCGCGAGAAGATTGAGGGATTGATTGCCGGGTGCCACGTGACTATATAGAGTCACGTGGGTCCCCGGCAGGTCACAGCTGACTTTGTTGTCATTAATACTCGACCTGCGCATGCGCAAGAATGATCATTCAGTGCTTGAAGCACCGCCTCTGGCGGTCATCCGGGATTCATAGAACCGTAGTTACGGTAGTAACTTTCGTTATCAGGCTCCTCTCCGGTGGAACCAACTACCAGTTTTAGTCCGTGAGGCAGACACCCTGTCTACTTTTAAGGCTAGGCTTAAAACTTTCCTTTTTTATAAAGCTTATAGTTAGGGTGGCTCAGGTTATCCTGAGCTATCTCTATAGTTATGCTGCTATAGGCTTAGACTGCTGGAGGACATAGGGACCCCTATTTCATCCTTCTATCTCTATTTTCCAATCTGCAGAATCTGTTAGTTCAATCTCTAACGTTCTGCTCTCTCTGCCTTTTCTCATAGTAGCTTCATCTGGTCTGTTCCTGTTTGGCTGTGATGCCATCCTTAAGAGAAATATCAGCTGTGCTGCTTCCATCAACACCTTTGTTTATAGATGTTGGAGATTGGTCTTTTTTTCAGTGTGGTCCTGTTTCTCTGACTTTGACTGGCTGGATGTGCTCTATCAATCCGCTGACATGGGAGCTGGCTCGGAGCTCGTCTACCTGGCTGTGTGTTTCCTGGATGGGGCCGCCTTTTGCATCTCTGCTTCTGTCTCCTTGATTCGGCGTCAGCAGATGGCCGCTCACACTGAGCCTGGTTCTGCTGAAGGTTTCTTCCTGCTAAAAGGGAGTTTTTCCTCTCCACTGTCGCTACAAGCATGCTTAGTGTGAGGGATTGCATTCGAGGCCATAAGTTGATGCAATCAACTGGTTTTCCTTAGATAGAAAACTTTGAATCAATTTGACTATATGAGCTGGTTGAACTGTAAAGTGCCTTGAGATGACGTGTGTTGTGAATTAGAGCTAAATGTTTATATTGGTTAAAAAGAGGATGACAATAATAAATTGCTAAAAAAAGAATGCAAAAGAAAACAGCTGTTTGATTTCTAACATGGTACAGTTGGAGCTGGCACATCCTAAAGATGACAAGGATGATCAATATTTTGATTTTCTGTCCCCATAATTAAACTGTTAATAATGAAATCGATATGGATTAATGCGATATTATTGTGCTTATATGCAATAGTTTAATTAAATAATGAGATTTACATGCTAACTTGTTTCCATATTCATAATGTTTTGGGGTAACTTTCTGATTAAAGTTACAATCAGTGAGATCAAACAGAAGACCACATTTATTTGTTACAAATATATTTGTAACAAAATGGGAAATAAACAAAGTTAAAGGATGTTAATATTGTTGCCATGTTTGAGCTAAGCACAGAATACTGTTACGAACCGAATAGCGAGCCAGATAGTACGGACACCAGCCTTTCCTCCTGCCAAAGTCCTTTAAGTCATCGAGGTTGTAGATGCCGGCAGGAAGAGGAACCTGTCGACCGACTGCATCGAACTCCTGGAACACAAAACAGCAGTGAATCAGGTTAAATAAAGAGGATAAGGGGGTCAGAGGTCAGCACTGATGCCTCAAAGAAGAAATAAACACCGTAGCTTCAAATCATGCCTTGCATTTCTCCTAAATTATGCACGTCTGTGCTGTGTGTCATGTACAATACAATGTCATGGCATCGGTGTTTTGCACCATTTTTAATCTGGTTTGGGATCCGCTGCATAAGGAGCAAAGGTGGGAAAACAACTTCCTTCTGGAAGAACCACATGTTTTCCTTCTGGCTGGGAAATGTCATTTTGAATTAACTCTACTTCACACACATCTGGTCTGTAAAACAACAAAAACTTTAAACCTTCTATTTGTAGATGAAAATATTAATGTTATAATCTGATTCCACACTTGTTTTAAAAATGCAAAGTGATATATCATTTGGAGGAGTGGAGCGATGATTGGGGGATAAATTTCCTCCATCTTTGTACCTTCTTGATTCTGTTGTTTTTTTAGGAAGCAGCTGATGTCTCATTTATTCAGACTGGTTACAGACCAGTTTTATGCAGTATATTGTTACACATCTACCATTTTAACTTTCCTGTGTTTGTACACTTGTATATTACGCAAGCACCAGCTCTCTTCATCCTCTGACATGGGAGCTTTTACAGGCTTTTGACCTGTAAAATATGTTTTGGAAATAAATCGTACTGAGGCCTGCTGAGCTGTAAATAGGAGGCAATTTCAGTGTATATGTTGGAAAAGCATAATTTTTGTTTTTCTTCTTCAATTACTTATCTTCTAACAATGTTACAAAATACAAGAATTTGCACATAACTTTTTTTGAGAGTCTAAATACATTATTCTTACACAAATTAAACTATTTATTTTGATAAAAAAGTCACTTAGTAGCATTGAAGCATTTTCACACAATACCTTTTTTTTGTTGCCATTTTATTTTATACTTTTGGGTATCAACATACTGAATTATTGCTACTCTTATTCAGGTTATCTTGTGTTAATCAACCAAATATCTATTAGGGTTTCCAGAAACCTAGATAAATCAAATCAGATGCTAAAACCTCCTCAAATATTTAGACACCACAGGTTTGAACAATTTTATTTTTAACTTTTAATAGAACTTTATTTTGAAAAACATCTGCTCCTCTTAATGCAGGGATCCCCTTACCTCATAGAAGCGGCAGGAAGGCAGGTTGGGATTGCTGTGGCGTTGTGCCCGAATGTATGATGCTGTCAGACTGTGGCACTTTCCATCCACCTCCTTCCCAAAACGTAGCGAGCTAACCTATGGGAAATTGAATAAAAGAGTATTATTATCCCAGATAAATGCTGAAATGCTTTCCTAGTTGAAATATGTGGCCTGTTTATTTTTTTCAGGCTGTTCAGCACTAAATGCAGGCTACTTTGTACCTCTGGGTGGATGCAGAGATTTTTCCTGGAGGATAAAGAAAGAGCCAGGAAGTTGTTCACTTCTCCAGTTTCTTTGGCATAAAACTCCATCAGCTTCCTGAGCTCCTCCACCACCTCATCACACAGAAACAAAGACTTTTAAAATCCTTTTCCTAAAGAGGTAACAGTTGTTTCATAGCAGAAGCAATCTGAGAGGAAAATTCCTTGTTCAGACATCGACTTACTTTCTCGATCTCAGGAACTGTTCTGGAGCAGTAAATTAACTTGGTCACCTCCAAGGGGAAGGCCTGTAAAACATAAGAGGGCATGAGAACGGCTTCAGAATACAGTCGTAGCATCAGAAGTTGCAGTGGGAGCTCACTCTCTGGTAAGCAACGATGAGGGACAGCAGAGAGATGGTCTTCCCTGTTCCCGATGGCATCTCCAAGACTCCATGACCCTGAAAACAAACAGGATTGCATCACAAAAATGTGCTTTGACACTCCTTGAGAAATCAGTGGTCAATCATCTGTGTTAAGACTGCAATTATAACATTTGTTTAGTTTGTTTTATTGCACAAAACATGGAAACATCAGAAGAACTATGCAAAAATGTAAAACTTGCAAAAACTACAGATGAACAACATATTTAAAGCTGCCAGCATAAAGGAATTGTATTTAAGATGCAGCAGCTTTTCACTGAAGGACCTCCCCTGTAATTCAAAGGCTTCATGCATGGAGTGAGTCACATCAGGAACCAAAATTAACCTTTTTCCCGCAGATCTCTGATAGTAAAAACCCACCTTTGCATCTAAAGTCCTCTTTAGCTCCAGCATATAGGAGTACTGCTCGGGATAGATGTAGTCATAGGGAAAAAACACCAGCAGACCATCGATGTTCAGCCTGAAATGTTATGATGCGGACAGGAGAGACGCTGAACTTAAACATCAGATCAGAACTCAATCGCATAAACACATTAACTCTTTTATAAATAAATAAAAAAACACGAGTTTAAGCTATTAGATTTAAGTTATCATTTCACACATTTAAGCTAACCCTCGTTTCCTCCTATTTTGCAAACTTTCAAACTTAAAAAAAACTCACCTCATTTCAGCGGAGCGCTTAAAGCGATTAGTCCTCGCTTTTTATTCTAGTTGCAAATGTTCATTTCAAAATATAAATATAAAATGAAAAACAAAACACAACTCAGACAGTTAGCACCGCTACACGCAGCTGCTGCATCTTTTTCTTCTTCTTTTCTGTTACTTCTTCTTCTTTTCCATTACGGCGGATCGGAAGCCATTTTAAGGTGCGTACCGCCACCTAGGCTGCGTCTCAATTCGCAGGCTGCGTACTTCCGAGGACGCAGCCTACCTAGCCTCCGGAGGACCCAGACTCGGTACATGAGTGTGTAGCAACATTACTTTACATCAAATTCTATTTTTTTATGTTGTATTCTGTAGATAAATAAATAAATAATGTTTTCCTTAAATTGTGAATAGCAGCTACTGCTCTGTCTTCGGTGGTTATAAATATCGCGCTCTAGCGCCCCCAAAAGGACAACCTGGAAATTCCTCTTCTTCTTCTCTTTTTTTTTTTTTTTTATGGATGTTGGGCTTGCCATAACTTATAGGTGCAATACCACCTTCCAGATGGGAGTATGGATCAAACAAACTATTATATTCTCCTGATAATGCCCGTTCTTCTTAGAAAACTAAAAATACTCCTAAAAACTACCGAGATGATTTCTGAAACAATTCCCCTATATCCAATTATATCTAATATCTAAACACCCTGTACTATGCCTATTAAATATTTTTAAGGGTATTATTTAATCCTGTATGCCCGAATTCTAGATATATCTTCTTCTTTTTTAATTCTATTACATTTCCTTAATTCTCCAGCCTTTTTATGAATACTATAATAAAACATCGCATTCCCTCCTTCCTCCCATTTTTTCTTGATATAAGTTTTACTAATATTCTTTATCTAATTTTCACCTTTTGCCCTTTTACTTATTGTCTTTTTTATTTTATCGTCTTTACCTTATTTACTGTGTAGTACTTTGGGATTTGAATAAATATAAAATGCATTACAAATTCAATAATTATTTATATTTTACTAACCTAAATAATATGAGTCAAACTCTAGAATTACGTCAGGATATCTTATAAAATACAGCATTGAAACTAATTTAACAGAAATTATCACCATTGGCTTAATTGGAGTGTAATTCAACGTTTTTATTTTTCAAACATTTAAGAAATGATAAAAGTGTGAAACAGAAATATCCACATGTGATTACTAGTGATCATTTCATTTTTCCTTTTCAGGAGCCGGTGATGTCAGTGTTGTAATACCCTTAGGAATCCACCTGAGGGCAGCATCCAAATCCTACAAAGAACACAGGGACAGACCAGTTAAGGAAATAATTATCTATAAGAAACTTCCACAGTTTATTTCACTCTGTGCATGCACACAAACCAGGCATAACATTATGACCACATTCCTAATACTGTCCTCCCCATTTTTACTGCCTTAGACCCCAAACCCATCAAGGCATGGATTCCAGTTGACTCTGAGAGGGAGTACTAACTGGTTTCCTCAGAACACATACAGCATATTTAACTGGGTGTTTGATTCTGCTTCAAACATGCAAACCACAGATGTGAGTAAATCTATCTCTATGCTACAGCTGGAGTCAGAGGATTGACAGAAGAAGCAACAGCACCTCCTCCATGGCTTCTGACTCCTCAGTGAAACTGTTTTCAGCCGTCTGCTCAGTCTCCTGGGGCTAAAGGTTCAGAGTTGGCACAATCAATGTTTTCTTTCCAGTGTTTCGGTCTGTGTAACACTGTATGCACATTTATTCAGCTTTTAAGATTACCTACAGCCAAAAAATACAACATGTGCTTCTACTAATAGATGTGGGAGATTGTTTTACTGGTAAGACAACTCTTTAAACTACTAAAACTTAGACAAAGAATTAGATATTTATTGTGCCTCTATGCAGTTGATTTATTTCATTAATTGTGCTGTTTTACCTGCTTATTTTTCTGGTATTCTCCATGTTGTTCACAGCCATGGTCAAACACAAACTTTCCAGGTCCATGAGGCTGCAAAACGAGATACCATAAATCAAAAAATACTAGTTTTATTCAGTTATGTATTTAATAATATTGTTTATTTATTCAGGTAACAACAAATTATTCTCTATAATAAAGACCAGTCACAATATGACAAAACTTATTCAGGACTAAAAAGTGGTTAAAATAAAGATACTGTATGCTCTATTATAGTTAAGGTTGTTGTTTTTATAGCCAGACTAGAAAGATGTGTATTACTGGCTGATCAGTATGTGAATCCAAACTTACCCTGTTGTTGATAAAGTGGCCCTGGTATCTGTAATTGGTGTAGATGTATTCCCCAGCCAACTCCATGTTGCCTTCCACCCATGTGCCCTTGTATTTAGCACAGTTTTTTTTGAAGAAATAAACACCTTGACCATGTCTGAAAATCACAAAATAACATTTATTCAAGAGTCTTCAAGGTGTTCTTCACCTGTCCAAACTGCTCAGGTCGAGGGTTAAAACACAGAAGCAATAGTTGGCTCATCCTTCTAGAATCTGTGGAGTTTGTTGGAAAATCTATGATGCCACTAACATGGAGCTTAAAGGAACAATTGAAAAGGTTTTAATACCAGATGCCACAGCAGAGCTTCAGAGGTCTGTTCCTATATAACTCAGGAATGCTTAGGCAATGGAAAGATGGCTAACATTCAACCAAGAGTTGATCAAACTGTTACACCACATCAGTGAATAAACATACCTCAGGTGGTGCTGCCATTCTCCATCGTATGTGTCTCCATTGGGGTAGGTGTAGACACCACGGCCTTCTCTCAGGTCCTCCACCCAAGATCCTGTTAGCCAAACACAGCCACCAGTCACTGTTTGATGCCATGAAGCTCTTTTTTTCAGGATAGAAGATGTGTATCATAACGGATATGACTTAGTAAAGTAAAAGATGGTGGGTAGATAAGAGAAAATCCCCAATCCATTTTAATGGGGCCATCTGATTCTTTATTGCAGTGAAATGTGGTATAATTGTTCCTCACTGCAAAAAGGAACACTCTCCAATAAATGTGACATTCAAGCTTTTCTATGGGTGAATAGGAACTGTATGCAATGTTCATTTATCAATTTGTATTCTTAATGCAACACATGCTGCAACTGATATTTTTAAATCTAGTTTAAGTGAGTAACATTTATCTGCACTTGATCATTATATTTCTAATACTGAACACACTAAACTCCTGGCTGGTTGTGAAACACAAAGTCTTAGAAGAAACGGTTATCTGATAACCTGAAGGGTGTAGAATGTTTACACATGGCAATAGATTTAAAAATATATTTCAGTTTAGGTCTGCAACTAACGATTATTTTGAAAATCAATTAATCTGTTGATTATTTTTTAAATTAATTGGTTACAATCTGGCGGAAAAGGGTTCCTTTAAAAAGACTTTTTACAAAATGAAACAAGGTGAAAATAAAACTTTTCCATCTTACAGCAGCTGCATCGTGGCAGGTGCATTGCGTCCACAGCATGTCACAACGGGCACGCATCATGCCAGGCACGGTGCACCTGCAGCTCATCACATCAGGTGGGTTAGGGTAGGTCTATACCTACAGCACATTACTGCAGTTATCACCACAGGGCATCAGCGCTGCCCATCTTGTTGGTTATCAAGTATACATAGTATAACAGTAGATAATTCCCATTAACATGGCACAGACGCAGAGTCCATTTTTGAGACTGTGAGCGATGATCCGATACATTCCTTCCACTAGTTCCTCGAGAGTTCCTTCATGTTCCATGTTTTCTGGTCCAGTTGGCTCTGAAACTGGTTGGACCAGTTTGGGGTACACTTCTTTTATGATAGCGTCATCTACTCTGCTTATGCAATTCATTTATATGGATGTAGCTCCATCCTCAGGTCTGGGACGATATTTCCTAGTATGGTCGTTCGCGATATCTGACCCTCCTTCTCTCCCTCAGTTCAGATTTCAAACTTTCTCTGAAATTATTCAGTGAATCTGTTTTTAAAGGTTACTTCAAAAAATCCTCCCTAACAACCCGATAAAAAGGAATCCTAAAGCTTGGGATTATAATACCTATCCACCTTAGTTCAAGTCTCTTCTCTCTAGCTCATTTTTTTTTTTTTTTAGCTTTACAGGTTTCCTAATATTAATATTTTCATCTCCAGATTTTTTAACCCAGCTAGGGTAACAGCTCTTCCAATCTGAAACTCTCCAAAGGGAAAGGTCCGTGCATCATCGTTCTCGCCTGTATAAATGGCTCCTTCTGCCCCTTCACCATAATGCTTAAGTTTGTTCCAAAACAACAAAAATAAGCTCTCATTCACACCCTGGAAGGAATGACACCTACCTCATTCCTTAAAGTCATAAGGAAATCATAAATAAATCCAATCTTTATCAGATGATATTGTCCCAAAAGGTAGAAAATTTCTATTTAAAAAAAAAATCCTGTCTTAAAATCTGTGGGGTTTTTTCATTATCTTATGCAGGCTAGTTAATTATACATCAGCTTGTACACCTACATTTGGCCAGTCATATATCAACATTCATCTGTAAATCAAATTTTTTCAAACATAGCATATTGATTCATGTCGCAGCTAATATACGCAATGGTTGAAATAAGAATAATATCCTTTCCCATTGAGTTCCATCCCAGTGTTCACAGGGATGGACGTCTGTGTCTTCAGCAGGCGTAGAGCTAACAGAACTGGCAGCGTTGCGAGGCAAGGGCTCAAACATGTACGGCTGTAAGCCTTCTACACCAAACCAAGCTTCTGCCTCCCTGGTGTCCTGATGTTTTCCGAAAAGTAAAACCTTTAAATAAAAACTTCCTCTAAATAAAAAATTATATGACAGAGGAGACTCATCCACGACCCCCGACACAACGGTTGGAACGGCCGTTTCCCTACGACTTTTAATGTCAATTTACAGGATCAAATCTTCTGCCAGGGCCCGAGCGCTAAAGAACTTATTTCTCTTTGCCAATAAAATAAAAAAAATTTAATCATAGCTTTTCTATGTTTGAGTCTCTCCATGTTGAAATACTAATTATATATGAAGAACACTAATTGGTTGTATGGGATTTTGATAGAAATAGTTAAATTTTTTAAATAATTCTATAAAATTTTTTTGCAGGGGTTTTCCTTTGGAATAATGTTTACCAGTTGCCCCATTCACA